TTTTTTTTAATGTTTTTTTTTTTGTCAAAGTCATAATCAAGTAATAATGTCATTTGTAAGATAATCAGAACTCAGCCGGACTGATAGAGTTGCAATTAGCTATTCAAAATGAACTGCAATAGAGAGCAGACTCTCTCGTCATAATTATGCACATACATGTACATGCAGTTCTGCCCGTTACAAGCAGGTTTGTAGTCCATGGACTTGAGATTTCCCTGTGGTGGATTTGAAAGTCTTTTTGTCAGTTTTCAGTGATCATTGGTTTTGTGGGACATTTCCCTCGTCTAGGTCCTACTGCACCCTGTAATTGTCTCTTTTTTGTTTTAAACTTTGTACAGCAAGTATTAACAATTTTTCCTATGTACCAATTGAACCTCAATATACACCACACATTCCTGTGCACAGTGCATGTACATGTATTGTACATGTACGCAAAACTTTCATGGGCTATCCCTGGTTTTACTTGTGATGAAGTACCGAATAAATAAATCCTGAAATAAATTCTGAATCCTACGATTACACACTGCATGCTAGCCTTAGGAATGCTTTTTCCCCCCAAGTACGAAAAGGTGTCCTTTGTCATTTCTGTATGGAGCCCATAAAACGGGTACTTCAATGTACACGTACCATAACACTCCTTAGCGCTTCCAGTGCATCAATATACACGTACATGTAGGCACCACAGGACTTCGAGCATTCATACATGTTGAACCTCGTGATTGTTTTTTTCTCAAAAGGAATTTAATCATACCTAAGAATTTGGCATGTACCTGTACAAGAGAAACAGATGGAATTTTCAAGTATTGCACTTCATTGTGAATTTCTATTAAATTTATTGTACTGCAAGATTTTTGTCTCTCCCTCCGCTAGAAATGTCTTTGCTGTTTGCATTGTTATGAAAGTGGGGATATTTATTATTTTTTTAGTTTAAATACTGTTATCAGAACCATCTCTACTGCCCATTGTGATGGCTTTGGAGATGTTGTAACCTTGGATTTGTGGCTTTAGGGATGTGCAAAAATCTAATTGAAAGTTAGTAGTTTGTGTGGTTTATGTGATTATGTTATGTGTTTATCTTTTGTACTATTTTATGTTTTAAGTCACACTGAGGGCGATATCAATAAAATAATATGTCAGTCCTGAATAGCAGCCTGGAAATTGTGTGAGAAACCTCCAAGGAGTGCAGAAATCAACAGTTCACAATGCACACACAAACATTACTCCAGTGATTGATTTAATCTACCTTTTCCGTATATCACCATTACACCAAAACTACGTATACACGACTTTAACGTCAACTATTGTTTTCAGAATTTAACCCAAATTAAACTTCCATGTAGCTGACGACAAAGTTATTATTTCAGAACAAAAATGGACTTGCCACACACTTCACCAACAGAGGTTTAGATAGAAAAATAGTACAAGTACACACTATGGCCTTCGGTTTCGGTTTGTACATTACCAGAATATGCATATGAAAATAGAATTGCCAACTGAAACCCCAGACACTGACATGATGTACAAACTGTATTTGACTGACAAACACCACAAGTCCTTCTTTCATGAAGTGGACCTTTGTAAAAGTGCATAGAGGAAACTGCACCAATGTTTCTGCTACAGTGTTCACCACCGAGACCTCAATTATTACTTCACGACAAAATGCTTCACCATAATGGGTTAAGACCAAAAAAGAAAAACTCTTGAATAGTAATCCATGCAAAAAAGCTACTTCACTCAAATTTGAAAACCTTTCAAACGTTTCCATTAAACCTCCCCATAAAATAAAAAAAAGGTGAAATTAGGCTTTTTAAAATTAAAGTGAAAAATGCAACATAGGATTCTTACAAGAATCAGGAGAAATGGATAAACACTATTTCAGGAGCATTCACACAATGAATCAATGCCATAATGTTCCGATATACAAACGCACATACATGTATAATGCAACAAGAAAATCCTGTGCCCCAAATGTTTGGTGGAGTATAACACCTGATATTTGGGCACAAATTCCGACATCCACAACTTTAATCACAATAGATTTTACTTTTTTTTTCTCCAGGTAGATACTCTTTAATGTACATTGTCATTTTTTTTTAATATGTTGGAAGCACACACCCCTCCACATACATACACAAGTAACAACTCCTTTAAAATTCATTTGCCCAAAAAATGGCCTAATTTAAAAGGTGTTTTTTTTATCTTGTACAAGTTCTCTTACAAAACAGTTAAAGTTAACCAATCTATTTCTTACAATTACAGGAAAAAAAATTCCATTTTAACTTTAGAATCAGTTATACTTAAAATACATTAGTTCGTTTCCACAAACAGTATGATGCTTAAAGTTCTATGCACACCTGCCTGGGGGTGCTGGCATTCAATAGTAAGGTCTGAGGGGCCAGTCCTGGGAGTTTTTCCCATCTAAGCTGTGTTCGTCACTTCGGATGACAGTTTATGAATTTAGCACACCTGAGTTTAAGCTAAGCACAGTTTCATTTCTCAACCATGAGGCAGTTTCGGAAACCTCTATTAAGCTGACACAAGGCAAATGTTTGGTACATGAGTTTCCGACGGGTGTCACATGGACAGATGTAAACTCAAGCATTGTCAAGAGGCAAAAGTTTACATAGAGCCCTGGTGAAAGGTAACCCCCGTGCCGCGCGAGGGGTTTAAAGGTCACTGCAAAAACTGAGATGAAAACCAAAATGGAGACGAAGCCTGGATGCAATGGAAAAATCCTCCTTTGGCTCTTGTTGCCTCAGCAATGCATCCAATAGGATGAGCATGGAACGAGTACAAAAGAGAAAAGACTCCCTTAGCAATGTTCCTTGCCGAAGTGTGGCGGAGACGGTCTCAGGACCCACAAGATTCAACCACCTAATCATATCTTCAACGCGACCGCCACACTGCCCCAAATCTACTTTGAGCTCTTTCAGTCAGCTGTGGACCCCTACACTCAGGTCCTCCGAAACAGACTTAATGACGTCACACGTTGGTCGCTGCAATGTCCTGCGTTCGCTTGCAAACAGATTGCTAGGCTATATACGTCCTAGACTTTGACTCTTTTCACAGCACTGAGCCAGGGAGATGCTACCTGTTGACATCCCTGTCCCAACCTACGGTAACTCTGAACATGGAATGCTGCAAACACAGTGCAATGTCATTCTGTCCCAAGTCAACTGTGTATCTCCTGAGCTGAAAATTGTGGCAAAAACATTTAAAATGCTTCAGTACGCACATGAAAGCCCCAATCCCCAAACATTTTTTGTTAAAAGGTCAATCAATAATGGTGCTCTACCTAATAGAAAATCACACTACTCTTTCCATTGAGAACAAAATATATACAATTTCAAAATATGTAAAAATTAATTGCTAATATACCAAATTTCATTAAGTAATAAAGAAATGAAAGGTTGACGTAGTCAACCTTTGCTTCCACATGATTAGTTAAAGTTGACCCCTGGTGGCGTACAGCAGGAACCCTTAGACATTTTCAAGATGTATTTTTGCATTGGGGAGATGTTAATTTATACAACGGGTTTTGCCCTTACCCAACATATATTGATAAACACTGTATGCTCAGTGATTGTCCGAGAACTTGTGAAAAATTCACAAGCTTACTCAGTTGGGACTCGAACCCACTACCTCCTGCTTACTAGTGCAGACGTCTTAACCACTCAACCACCGAGCTTGCCGGGGTCGGCTGGCCAGTCTGAGTTATATAAACCCTTAGACATGTTACAACCTTTAGGGAAAAAAAATCCAACAATTTTAGAATTTCTAATTTTTTTCCGTTTGTTTACTTCATAAAAATATCACATCAGAAAAAGGTCTTTGTAAAATATTTGCTAGCATGTAATTTATAAAAACTGAAAACTTACCTGACCTGAAAGAGAAATATCCTGCCAAAATTTTACTTCTCACTTCCAAAAATCTAAAATACACGAAGAGAGTGCAATTCAGTGGTCAGGTCAACTCAACTGAATCTAGATGCCATCGACTGCAAGTAAAATCTTCACAAACATTGTACAAACTCGTTCGCACATACATGTAAGCTTACGAATGGGAAACAAGCATGCACAAACAAGGAGCCCTGGGAACGATACTGCTGTAAGTGAAAGGTTGTTAATGAACTTCGCTTTTTACCCATCTCCAGGTGACTTTTCCAACATCCTACTTGAGGAAAACACGGTTAAAATTCCAACATTAGTGTTTCTTAGGATGGTTTCAGTTAGGAATCATTCTTTCCCAAATTATCGAACGTGATCAGACGACTCCATGTAAAATCCCCATAGGCGGACAGCGCGAGGGTTCCGGAAGCTCACTGACCACCTACATTCAGGCTCTACTAACCCCAACAGTCTTCAATCTTTCATTTGAAAGAGGAGTGAAAACTTCTGGGTGAAAAAAAAACTTTTCATTAAAACTGTACGGTTAGCCCTCACCAGCATGGATACCTGAAGTACATGTAAATATTTCCCTCAAACCCAAGAATGAACGTTTCACATTTCTGACTGATATAGGGCATTTTAGCTTTATCACCTGAAAAATACCAATGCATACAATTTTTTATGAAAAACCTTAGGGAGTTAAAAAAAAGAAAAGCCTTTCCCCCAAATGCAAGCACGTCTCGCTTGCCAACACTGTACATGAAAATGTTACTGAATAATAAATTGTACAAGGTGACTGCTGACAAGTCCTTGATGAATCTTTACTTCAATTTGAGCGTGTAAACCACGGTGCGACTCCCAAAGGTGTAAAAACCAACTGTTGAATGACGTGTTGAATCTGAGAAGTGAGTCTTAAAGCCTATCAAGCTCTTATCAACAGCATTCCTAACAATACAAGCAAAAATTTACACACTGGAATTGTTAGACTTAGAAACAAGCATTACCACTTCATTCTGGGTGGAGTGACCGGTAGCAGCAAGCGTCACCTGCCGCCGGGCACTTTTTCATTTTTTTCCAATGTTCCAAAATTCTTAAAAAATTATTATCTTCATTTGCTGGACGCGTACACCCAAACGAGTGACTGTCTTCTGGCCATCTGACGGGGAACCTCCACTGACGCATGAGTGTTGCAGCCACACCTGCCACCCATTAAAGAGCCCCCATTGTGCGGTGTCGCATAATTTCCTCTTTGTTCCAGGAATTGGCCCAGTGCATTGCTATGCTGGATGGCAGTGTTGCTATGTAGAGCGATTGACGATAAAGTAGCGCATTGGCCGTGAGGGTGAACCAGGCCATTCATCAGGCACACCGGCTCAATGAATGCTGTGCAGCAGTATTGTCGGTGCCGATGCGGCCAGATTCCACAAGCGTGCAGCTGTATTGTATAGCTCATCACTGGAGCGCTTTTGTCCTCGCTGATAATCCGCTGCGCTGGCAACAACAAACAATAGTACTGTTTCAAAACAATGACGGACTACCTCCAATAATGCCATCACTCAGCGCTGACAGCACATGAACCTTGATTGGCAAGCTCTGTCTTTTGGGAAAGAAAGTTCCGACTTCGAGCACCCCAGCCATGAAACACCCTGGCAGCGAGTGGTTAACAAATGTCCAGAAACTACAACTTAAAACATATACATCCTGATTTTCGCAGATACATGTAAAGAGGAAGTCTGAAAAATATAAATTTCTCACATAAGCGAAAAAAAACCCCCAAATTATAACAATTTGTTCATAAATAGCATCCACAAATTCTTGGTAAAGAAAAGTAGCCGATGCCCACAACACAGCACGTAATGCACTCAATGTGCAAAACCATGCCTTCAGTACAACAAAGAAGCCACAAAAAGATGTAAAAAATGACTCTGTACATTCAGTTATCTTCATTTCTCTGAGCGTGTAAGATGAACCTTTTTCTGTCAGTTTTAAAGATGCAAGCTCACCTCCACCAGTTTCATAGAAATACTGACACAGCACAAACGAATGCTGGGATTCTGGGGAATGAATAATGTACACAGTAACTCTCTCGAACAAATAGAAGCCTTTACAACTGTTTCTTGTACAGATAGTTAGTCCAGAAATTTGCTCCTGATTCATCGTTTTCAGGAATGCCTGGTTTTACACTACCAATATTTCTACGTCTAAGACAGATGGTACGAGGCACAAAGATATGAATGAGGATAGGTGTGTTGGTTTAAAGATTAAGGTTTACACTTAATAAACTATAAACTTGAAGTTTATAGTATGTTCTACTACCAGGAAGCTCAAGGTGATTCATCCCTGACCTCCAGGACCTTTGTATTAAAGACCAAGGGGACAGTGGTTGCCCCGGAGCTGCAGACATTTCCTAGCAAACTTTGGCCTCCGTTTCCTGCTCCTCCTCCTTGATGTCTCTCATGTTCACCCCCTTCTGGATGATCTCTCCGAAACCCTCCTGGTGGCTGAAGGCATAGCCGGAGCGGGTGCTGGCCGGGCGCCGCAGACTGCTGCCGCCATGCTGCAGGCCCGCTGAGGACCGCATGCTGTCCCTGACCGAGCCCCGGGTTCGGAACCCCCGCAGCGCCAGCGACTTCTTGCGGGCCTTCTTGAGCTCCTGCTGTTCCCGGCGCTGCTCCAGCCGCACCTTGTCAACCAGCATGGGCTGGACGTCGGCCTGCACTGCCCGCTTGCCCATCAGCGGCAGCAGCAGGATGGTGCAGACCAGGACGAGGGAGAAGTAGAAGGACGGCAGGCGGAACATCATCACTGGCACCCCTACGTAGGTGAAGACGGCACTGAAGGTGGCATAGAAAGGGAGGCTGTAGAACATGAAGATGAAGATCAGGTAGAAGACGATGCTGCCCCAGATGACAATATGGGTGATGATGTTCCAGTAGGCGGTGTCTAGAGCAATCTGTGACAAGAAACGGGGGGGAGGGAAAAGTAACAAAACATGTTCAGCCCAGTGCAGCATGTGCACGTCACACATTTCTTGGTACCTGAAGTGAAGATAAGACTCCTGTGCACAGCGCATGGTTATCTCGACGGGCTTCTAGCATGGAGACTTAGACACCTCAACTAGTAACCATGCTGACTGACACTGGACACAGTCTTTGGAAATTCTTATTACACCAGGGCACCCAGCACCATTTTTTTTCCTTCTCCTGATACACAAACACGAGTCAAAATTGTCCCTAGTTGTAACACTAACTTCATGCACTGCCTGGTGAACTCTCCGACAAAAAGTTAGCTACACCTGTACTCGTATCAAGGTGCCATTCCTCATGAAAACAAAAGGCCTAGGAGTCATTTTCACAGAACTACTCGGTAGTCATTAGGATAGGAAGTCGCTAGGCGAGGAAAATGATTGCTTAGCAAAAACAGGTTACCACTAAGATGTCATACAATGTATATCTCGTTTAACCAATTCTCAGCTTCTTTTTGCTTGGTGCATGATTCTGCTCTGAAATATCTGCTCAGGTCTCTGAAATGAGGACGAGGCTATAAGGGCTGCAGTCAAGACGGTCCAAAGTCCCTCCACAAGTCCTTTCACATGCTCAGTCACAAGTCCTTTCCCAAGTCCAATTGGAAGACCACTAACAAGATGACCAATGACGAAAGCAAACTGCTTTTGTCACAGTTCACTTGAATAGCCTTTGACTTGGCTAGAGACTGCGTGGCTTGTGATGGATTTACAGGGACTTCCAAAAACTTGGGACGGACAGACCCCCACTACAGTCAAAGGGCCATGCAGTCCAATCGCAGGTATTCAGAATATCCTAAAGAGGTCTCAGCTCCTTATCATTAAACCAACATTGAAACATCCAGTCACCTTGGAATCAATAAACTCACAAGTTGGAATCTAACACCTGCGTAACACTACACAAACCAGCTGAAAAAGCTAATAAGTACAAGAAGTTATGCAAGAAGGTCTGTTACCAACCTTTAAGTTGACCACAACGACCACCATGGTCGCTATAATGCAACCGAACAGAGCCTGGGAATGTGCCGGTATAGCGTCTGGAAACAGGTCACCGTTCAAGGCACCTGGAGTAGACAAAGCATTTGTAACAATTGTGAAAGCAGTAACTGACTTGCATGGAGTATCCAATATGTGAACAGCGACACACACACCCCCACACCCCCCTTCCTTCTGGAGTAGGGAGAACACAATAAAAAACTGTTACAGTTCTAGAGAAAGGAAACAAATCTCTGAAGAATATTCGGGCTAAAACCCACAGCATTAGGTAGGGGCTGAAACCCAACGCTCACGTGGACTGCACCAGATTCAAAGCCGAGCTGCAGGACGAAAGACAAGGAACGAACCACAATGACAACCTGAATCCCCAACGATACCGTCAAAGTGGAGTCAGAGAGAGAGGGGGTCTGACGGCTTGGGCGTGGGGGCGTTCTTTCAATTACCGTAGGTGATGAAGAAGAGGACCAGCGAGGTGACGGTGCCCTGCAGCAGACTCTTGGCGAAGACCACGTAGTTGAAGAACAGGCTCTTCTGTCCTGGCTTGTACAGCTCCGGGTATTCGATGCTCTTCTTGTCGCTGACATCCTGAGAGACAAATCGGCCAAGAAGACACTTTCAACTTATCCAAATTTTCCTTTGGAGTTAAAGGATGCGGAGGGCGAGGTAATGGATCGGTGTCAGAGAAATGTTTAGTATGGTTGCACTATACCTGGTCAAATATGCCCAGGGCTATCACAGGCAATGAGGTGAAGATGATGTTGTACGCACTGATGTACCATTCATCATATAGAGTCTGCAAGAAGAACAAGAGACATGGGGTAAAAAACACTTGATCGTGGCTTTCACGTACACGTTCCTGCTCACTGCCCTCCGGAACAAAGAGACAACATTTCACTGGATTTTTTCAAGTTGTGTCAATTTCGACCCGAACCACACCAAACCCAAAAGGGTCCAACTGCTCTTGCTCTTGTACGCTGGGTCTCGGCATGATTCACACATTATAGCTGCTGGAGGTCATTGGGGTCAGTGGATGGCAACACTATCGGGGTAGGGGGTTAGGATTAAAACAGTTCTGGAATTGAGGAAAAAAATTCCCAAATTTTTGAAATATTAGGTCTTTAAAAAAATCCTCAGCCACAAACAGTTGTCCCCTCAAAGCCCCTTCCAACTCTATCTGCACACTTGGATGCAGATTTGTCAGAAGACATCAACTCTGAAAATGCAGCAAGAGAGGCCAACGGATCGATTCTCCTCTCAAAGCCCGGAGATCCCCGTTTCATGCAATGAAATCTGACGCAGACTCACCATGGCAGAAAACCCGCAGAAGAAGGCAAACCAGAAGTGGCCCACCGTCTGGGCAAAGTTCTTGTAGAAGAAGTAGGAGAGGAACTTGCTCATTCGGTAGTAGGACCAGCGGCCATGTACCAAAAGCAGCCGCTCCAGGTACGTGCGTGGTCGTTAAGGAGTCAATCTTCATATCAAGAGAAAACTTACTCATCCCAATACTTCATCGCTGATTTCAAAGTAATGCCTTTCAAGAAGCCCAGCGCTTGAAAAACAAATCCCTTGGGCAAATGCCCAAGCAAAGCATATTTGCACAGGCCAACCTGTGGACTAGGTTTCCAGTTGCCGCTTGGCTTTACGTTTTTTTCTTTCCCTGGAAATCGTTCTTAAGTTTTTCTTCCACTTCTAAAACTGAAAATTTCTTGTTTGCATTTTCCATCTTGGCTTCTTCAGGCTACAAAGGGTACAGTGCCATGGCACTTGAAAAAGAATTAAAGTTTCATCCCCCAAAGTAAACCACAGTGTATCAGACACCAGGGTTATTAGGCAAATGTCTCGTAGCAAAAGACCAACACATACATGCACAGACAAGCAAACAGCTCATAAGAATTCATGAGAAAATGGATATCTGAACTGAGCAAAGCTGAAGTCACTGGAAAGCACAGCTTGCATCCCTTCCTGGCCGCTGATGCCAACTCCGATGTGTGCAGCTGGAAGGAAAACAGATATACATATAAAACAAAATCAAAATAAATAACAGAAGGGCATGTCAAAGATAAGAATACAACAATCATTAAAAGACATTGAATTCAACAGACATTCAAACTTCAAACTTGATTTCAAAACCTGATCCCACATCAAGTAACTGTTTCCTGATTCATTTCAACTGGAAATGGCACACAGCTGCCTGTCCACCACAGCATGCATAAAATCTACTTCCCGCTACAAGAAATACCTATCAAAGGCTGCACATCCGATTCCACAAAAATTAATTACCCCTATGGAGTACCGGAGTGTGACGTCGCTGTGAACCAGAAAGTGCAGTGCAAACGAATGGAGTACGTGCGCATGTTGGTTCACACGCTAGTTCTCGCGCTTATGCCTTTTACCCACTAATTTTGCCCATGACGTATTCACTTTGGTACTCTATACTCCCAAAACCTGAGAGAAAAAACAACTTGGTGGTTTGGGATAATTCTGATGGACTACGAAAGGTCAGGTCCACAATTTTTTTTTCTAATTTTTAAATTGTTGTCTTGATGGTATTTATATCTTGAGGGAGTGAGGTTTGCAGAATATGACATTGGTTTCCAACGACAGATTTCTTTTTTTTTTTTTCAAACAACATTCGGCAAGGTTTCCAACACAAATACAGAGACGCTGTGGGGCTTACTTTTGATCATACTGACGTCATTGGCTCCATCTCCAATGGCCAGTGTGACTGCCTTCTTGTACCGCTTGACCAAGTCAACCACCTGGGCCTTCTGCAACGGAGTGACGCGGCAGCAGATGACCGTCTTGCAGTAGCAGGCAGCCTCAAGGAATACCTGTTCAATATCTTTGCTGCCCAGCGCAAATGCCTTAGAGGGGAGTAGAAAAATATGGACTGCAGATTGCCTCTAAAGCGAAAGATGCTGAAGAACAGGCCCAACACGAAACTCAAAGGTTCCTAAAGATCACTGCAATTGTTTTCTTTGTAGGGTTCCAAAGCACCACACTAGATCTATCTGAGTAAAACGATTGCGGTTACACCATGGACCAGTCTCTTTCTTGAGTATGTGTGGTTAACCATGGTTGATCCATGGCGTAACTGCAATCGTTTTACTCATGTAGTTCTTTCACCATGAAAACCTTCAAATCTTAACACTAGATCTAAAAACAATTTGGATAATCCTAACTTCTTTTTTAAAGATGGAGAGAAAAGAGTTAAGACAGGATAATTCGCTGAGCCAAATTTTAAACAGTATGCTTGAAAAGTGTATAGAACAGAAGAAAGCTTCACATTTAGTCCATAAGTGCAGGTAAAATGAATTAGCAACAATCTGTGGAAGAACTTAGCTTAATGACAAGAAATTGACAGCGTCATGTTTAACAGCACTGTCCACATTATTACACGACAACCAGCGTGTGAATTTTTCAATGCTAAGCTGAATATCCTCAGTTGATGCCTTAATGGGGGAAGCATTCTAGAGGTTTTTTTAATAACACAAGCCGAGAGATACAAAGATAAGTACAAGTTGAAGTGTACAGCCATATAATTCTAAAAATCTACTGACTTCAATGGTTGTAACTAAGGATCTTGGGGATGAATAGACAAGACTTTGAACTTCAAACCTAACTAGTCTAGTTTGTGAACATTGAACGCTTAGTTCTGCAGTATTTTTGTTCTGAAACTGGGGCCACACAGGGCTTGGGAGTTTTCTTGAAAATGCTCACTAAAATGTCAGGGGTGATCATTACAAAATATAAAGCAAGTGAAGATCAACAAATCAAAAAACAACAAGTGCTTTAAAAGCCAACCAGATCTGAAAAAGGGGGTTTACATAACTGGGATTTGACAAATATGGCCAGGGCGCCAGATCGCATGCAAACATTTGTGTAGGGTGCTCACTGCCCTGCAAACCTTAAAAAAACAGGACTCTCCTCAAATCCAGTAATTATGAGAGGAATTGTCCTAGTGAAAAGCCAAGCGCTACAAATTCTGATGTCGCTGGTTCAAACCGTACCAGGGCAGCTCCGGTGATGACTAAGGCAAAGCTGTAGACGTCGTTCAGTTCATCCTCGTCTTTGCTGTGGTAGGATATGTCATCCCCGTCCCCAGCGGCATCCTGGAGTTCCTGCTTGTCCTTGATACCCATCACATCTCGGATCTTCTCCAGGCAATTCTTAATCTACAGGTACAGAAAATGAAAGCATCTTGACATGAAAGAGCAACACTTCCGCTCTAAGTTCATAAAAAAAATTTAAAACCCCATGGATTAAGTTTACAATTACTCTAATTCTCCCAAAGCTGTCAAAATCTATCAGGAGGTTTGGATATCTCTAAAGGGTTGAGAAAGGTAAAGACCAACTGATCGTACTCTGCATAGCACCCTTGAATTTTAAAGTGCAAGAATGTTCTGTTTGTATGGTGGTGTTTGAGGAATCAGGAGGGCTTCAAGCAGAAATGCCTTCAATTGAGCCAGTCCGGTAATGGATATTAAAGAGCAAGGTCATTCAAGAACAAAGCACATGACATCATTCCAGTCTGAAAGTGGTCAGTGCATGGCTCGGCATATGATCCCCCTCTGATAGGTCCAACCTCATGTGAGTATTGATGGCCATGTTTGAGTGTGTTACTCATGCTAACACTGGTGACACACACGAGAGCGATGGGCAGGATACAGCCTATGGGTGAGTAGGAGCATATGTTCATGAACTCTCATTCTGTGGTTACATCAAGACAACAGGAAGGTCGGCATTTATCCAGTTCTTTCCATTTGCACAACATTTTCCTTCATCCCTCAAGTATCAAGACTGCCTTTTTAGTGTTCTTAAATGCTCTACGACATGCTTTATTTTGAGCATATGTTGTTGAAATACTGACCTGGTTCATCATGTATGATCAGGCTATTGAAAGAAGTCTTCCCTACCTATTAACCCTAACAGTCCCTGTATCCTCCAATTTCAACTTAATTTGTAGCATGTGTCTCAGCTGATGAGCTCTGATCTTAAGGAAAATACTGGGGAAGGGCTGCGAGACGGTAAGACACTGTGAGACACTGCATTACAAGTTTCAATCTCTTCCTAGTGGTTTACTTTTCACCTCTTGCTCGGCCAAGTCTTTCTCGGTGGCGTTGACAATGAACATTTCATTCATTTCATCGGTCAGCAGCTTGCAGGAATAGCCGATGTTGATGGCCGTCTCTTGCTTGTCGCCTGTCAGCACCCACAACTTGATGTTAGCCTGAACAAAAGACCAAAACAAAGACCAGATGAAATTCCCTCAAAACTAATTTTTTGAAAAATCATATTTGTTGAAAGCACTGTGTGCTGCTGCCTACTGTTTAGTGAAACTATGGAGATATCAAAGTGGGGGCATGTTTTTCATCATGATGAGTACATTTGTAAATAAACCTGCATTGTCCATCTAGTCTCAGGTTTGAAACTGTGGTACACTTTTTAATGATGTTCACAAAGAACCTACAAAAATAGAGAAAAATAGAGAAAATGGCAAATATGCCTCTGTACTGACTGAAAATAATAGAGCATCTTTCCGGTTTCATTTCTTTTAGACAGGCATGCAACTTGGATTTTGAAAAAACGAGGAAATTCTGATCTTCACAACACTCTCACAGTGTTTTTCAATTTTTAATGGCATGAGTGTGAAGTGAAAAACGAGGAAATCAGCTGATCCCAGGAAAAGTTGCATGCTTGTCTCTATTTGATAATATCCACATTACTTCTTGCCATGTTTAGAAGCAGCTATTTCACTGTCAATTAAGAAACTTGACAATTTTAGAGACTGGCATAAAACCACTGCAAGGCCTCCCTCCTTGAGCCCTCTATCAAACGTCAAATGTCTCTAAGCTGTAGGTGCAGTTAAAGGTTGGCCTTTCTTCACCTTATGGAGGTTCTCAATGGCAGTGGGCACTCCGTCTTGCAGCTTGTCTTCAATGGCCGTGGCTCCCAACAAGGTCAAGTTGGTCTCTATTTCCTCATACAGTTCATCTAACTTGGCTTCGCGGTCATCCAATGAGGTGCTGCAAACGGCACAGCATGAATATGTATGAGAAACAAGCTCACCAATAAGGCACCACAAGGATACTGCATGCATATTCAGGAGCAGTAGTCAACCGGATGACTAGTGTGACGATTTGTTCCAAATCAATCCTTGAACTGGCCATTAGTTGAAAAATTAGGACTATGCAGTGATTTCATCTTTGACAGAATTGAAAAAGGACTATAACAATTTAAAAACAAACCAAAAAAAGTACTCATTCTTCTGGGTCCTTAAAAGCAGTTTCTATGGTCACCTGCACACTGCCAGAAAATAAGATGTTTTGTCCAGCTGTGCATTCCACAGGAGTTAAATTTCCTAAATGTCGGTATGTGAATCTCTTGACTATCTAACGGCAAGTCACGCACTTCAACAACTCTATTAGAGCCAATGATATTCCGCGGTGGCAGAAAACGGATGGAATTTGCAGAATCAAGACTTTGAAATGGAATCCACTGCTTGAAACGGAATTTGCAAAATTCCCCAGTAAGCACGGCTTAAAAAGTAAAGAAAATTTTCCACACAGTACTAAAAATAAAGGCCTACCCGACTCTTATAAAATGCTTGTATTAAATGAACGACTTACGCTGGAAACATGCTAAATTGCATCCCTCCAGCATAATTATGGCTAGGTCGGCCAATGCCAATACTTGAAATACATGTGTACGTACATGAACACGCTATAGCGTGCGTGAGCCCCACACGTGATGCGGTGGGCGGCACAGCATGGTCAGCAGTGGTGCGGTGCACACAGCCGCTCACATGTGCACCACACTAGCAATGAAATCAAGGCGCAAACAGGTTCATACTCACACGTATGCTTATTGCACATACATGTACATGGGGAATTCAGTCTGTGAGTGGGCATAAATGCCTTGAGACGAGGCTAGTACTGCGATCAAACGATCAAACCATGGCAGCAAAATGGAAGACAAATTACATTTTTCTTGAATTAAATGAAACCTAGTGAACTTGGTGTACCATCGTTGAATAGGCCCTTGGAAGTATTCGATGAAGAGCAAAGGTTTCATTCACGAACATGCATTTTAAGGCCCAGATTGGATGTTAACTTTCCGAATTTTGACACACCACTGTCAAATAAAAATGGCGGTTTATTGTCCAACTGCTGTTGAATGCAGGACCTACTCTATGACTGCACCATACATGTATTAAATGTAATTTGATTTTGCACACGAGGAGTGATATATGAATTGTCCGTTGATTAACTGTAGTAAGTTTATGATGATCTTGCTGGTGAGAAATCGAGGGGATGGGGTGTAATTATTGAGTAGATTTTCTTTTAAGTTTCAACACAGAAAATTGGTAAAAAATGTTGATAATATTGCAGAGTATTTCCAAACAGGGTATTTGTTTCTTTTCTTTTTTGGGAAGGGGAGTAAGGTTGAGCAAACGGTTTGCATGCACAGTTTGTAACTTGATCTCCTTTTTATGCTTACTAAGGTATGAAACGGAATTCGATTTCTGAAGCGAAATTCAGGATTTTGCAAAACGGAAACGGAAAATCATTGGCTGTACTCTATTGCTTGTACTCACGCAGCAGCATGATGCTTTCTCTTCCATTCCTGGTAGTACGCTTCGTCGACATCTTTCATGGCCAGGCAGAGTGTCCTCAGACCTTCCCCAGCAAAGTCCTGCAGTGTTAGAGGACATTAAAAGCCCAAGTCCCAATGATTAATGCATGAAATGATTCTCTGTGGGAAGGAATGGTCTAAAACTACATGTACTCTTTGGTCAACATTATTGTGCACTTGAATAGGAACTGATGAGGCCAAAACAGTTTGTCCCAACATGGTTACACGCTCGAGAGAAAAACAGTACATATAAAACCAAAACTAAAGCTTAAACTGATAATAATACTAAACTGTATCACTTCCTATAATGAGAAGTAAAAATACAAAGGTCTGTGTAAATCAAGGCAAGATGCATGCGGGACAAAAACTATTACTTCATACATACACTGGCTGGGTAGAAGAGGAAAACGAAGTACAAGAGAAAAATCCGAACAAAAACAATGGCTTTTCACAGCTATACTATTGAAAATGACTTCTTTGCTCACCCGCAAGTGCTGGTTGGTGATGTCCACCAGCTGCTCGTTGCCCTCTCCAAGCCGTGCCAGGATGACGTTATCCGCCCCTTTGCAGTAAAGGCGGATCTTGCGACCCTGCCGGACCACCACCGACATTCGCTTCCGGACATTGTTGAAGTCCAGAATGTGCAGCAGCTCGTACTTGTCCACCTCGCCTTGTACCTCAAGCGTGATGGTGGTGGGTGTCCTCGACTGTTGATTAAAAAAAAAACAATAGTGCTACAGAGAGTGAGTTTTCTAACTTGTGACTTTAGGTAAACTTGGCCTACCAGGCCACACAATAGAGCTACGGTAAAGAGATCTGACTTACCACTTGACACGGGCAGCATAAATTGATTCTGACTAATTGTGATCCAACTAACTAAAATGAATCACCAGAGCCAAAGCCTCTTTCAAGTAAAAAGGCCTTTAAAAAATCTTGAATGATGCAAATCTACATTTTTTTTTCACTTGTCTAATGTCCATTTAATACATCAGATCAAAAAGCTAAGTTTACTCTTCCTAAAACAAAATAAATGGCAACATGGTCCTAGGGCTCGTTTCGAGAGATCTGGTGCATTTGTGACTCACTTTTACAAACGCAATGCCAAATACATATGAGCTCTCCAATAATTTGTTTTCATGGTGGTTCGTTATTTCCATACAACCAGTTTTCAGATATCTCCACTTTGCAGTTGACGTAATAAATTCTTTTTAAAAATCCAGCAATAATTATTACCTTGAAGACAAATCCAAAGTTTCTTGCAGCAGATACCAGAGCAGCTTCGTCGGGAGACTGGGCCTGGTACTGCAGCTTGCCTGCAGGGCCATCAATAAATGCAATGTCTACGATGCTTCCATCTCACACTTTTACCCAAATCCGAAACAGCAAAGCCCAGGATTTGAAATAGGTAAAATAATCTGCCCCTTTCAATTCTTAGGCTAGAGAAACTATGTGAGACCATCATGAGAATTTTGTTTAATATCACAAAGATTCAGCTTTCATATAACTACACTCCAATTAAATTTGAGAAGTCATAAGACTACAAGAGTTCCCCTAGATGTTTCTTACCTTTTGCTGCTCTATCAAATATCATTCAATGCAACATTCTTCACCAACACATGTAAATATATTCAAATCTCCCTCAAGTGAATGAATTTACATGGGATAAAAGACGTGGAGGTGAACTCAAACATTTTGCAAAATGTTAGCAGCTCTGGAAAATGGATAAAAAATTCAGAAATGAGATGCGTTCCAATTCCGGGTTCCACGGTGCAAGATGGTCTTACCCTCAATGATCTCCGGCATGACAGTGTGGCACAGGGACAAGAGGCGGAAGAAGAGCCAGCAGTGCCGGTCCCCTTTATCGATGGCATTCGGAAGACTCTTGTCGTAGAACTTGAAGCTGGGCTCGTACATGTTGTTCTTGGAAAAATCAACCAAGGGGGTTTGCTGCAGGGGGATGGAAGGCTATAAAGGTTAACTTACAGCCAGAGAGGTTATGTACATATAATAAATGGAATAATAAGAAGAAGTCAGGGGTTATGTGGTGGTGGTCAAAGGTCAGCTAAGGGTAGGGAGTTGGGTACGTTTTACTTGAAGTAATTAACTTTAATTAATTAAACAATACAAAATGCACAGGGTACTAAAATCACAGGCCATTTATAATTCACAGGCAAGCTAGTGAATACAGCTACATCATGTAAGTATGACCATGTAAAATGCCCCAAATGAAGTTCCATAAAATGATAGGTAACTCACGTCAGTGATCTCTATCACGTCACCATTTTCATCCTTCAGCTCTCCAAACTTCCTGCCAGCAATGGACGCCTTGTTGAAGGTCATGATGTTCTGTGGTTTGTAAGCGGGTAAAAACCACAGAGCAATCGAAAAATTGCACTTTTTTTGAGGAGCTTCATATCCGTCCTAACACAACAAACTGAACCGTAATTTACTACAGTGCTAAACAATGCAAACTTCGATCTTACTTAAAACACAAACACAACATGATCACTGGGGCTGCCTACCTGAGTCAGGGTACCAGTCTTGTCTGAGAACACGTACTGTATTTGACCCAGCTCCTCATTTAGATTGGTGGACCTTGCCTTTGCCGGCGTGTCCTTGGGTGCATAGTACATAGCCTTGTCCCAGGAAATCCACAGACTCTGAAACATGCGAATCAACTCCACGCTGGATAGCAGGAGGGAGAACAGAGAAAGGTCAAAAGGTCAAATACGTCCTGAATAATTACATTCTGGTTTCATCTGTTAAGGGAGGACATACAAACATTTAATGAAACAGTTTAAGTCTGTGATATTACAAATGATCCAATAATATACATGTACACATGTAATTCGCATCTTAGCTTCATAACCGTTGAAAATATTGAGAAAAAAAATTTACAATGATTCTAAGACAATGATCATGGTAAAACATGCAGGTAGACAACATTTCTAACCTCCCCAAATTTGTGAACCCACACAAGAGCTGGTACCTTGCATTACAACTAATTCTATAATAATGGCCTTTCAATAAAGACTTACGTGACATATAGTGAGATGGGAACCAGTGTATTCAGCACAATGACATAGGAAAAGAACACCAGCGTTGCAATAATTGCTGGACTATCATATTCCCAAGGAAGGTACGCCTAAGGAAACAAAAACAGTAAGATAATATAGAGGGAACATCAAAGGTTGGAGGTACACCAGGCGGCGGCGGGCTGCGCTGCCCAGCTCTCATAATCTCCACCCGGCACTTGGGGCAATTTTGAGCCTGACCGCCCGGCACATATTTCATTCCCCGAGTTGGTAAAATTTCTAAAATATCTAAAAATGTCTCATGTACACGCATGTTCCCATCTTTAGCAATTTTTAAGATATTACTGTGTCAAATTCCTTGTTTTAAACTGCAAAAACACCAAAGTAAGCTTAAAATTACGCACAAACATGACAAATGCACAACGATGGCCATATAACCCCATATCCCAACACGTGAGACCAGCTTCACTTGCAGTATGCCCTGAACTACACACATACGTACACATGCACGATGCATGTGATGTGTGTACATGTACAGATATGCACATACACAACAGCTCAGCTCCAGAGTGCACCGATACTTCAAGCATTGACAGCCCCACCGCACAAATAAATATTTATTGTGTAGTCGCATTCCAGCAGGAGTAGGTTTTTACGCAGATTTTACGCTTAGTATCAGCTGATTTTTGCTTTCTCGGACCTTGTATGCATGGTACACAATTCACATTGATGTCTGTGTATGAGGAAAACGATGGTAGTCATATTATGCGTGCGCGTGCTCAGTCATGTTTTAGCACCGACTGTCAAAATGTTGTTCATAATTGAACCTGCCTTCGCCCGGTGAAAGGTCATGAAACACCTTTTGTTTTTGAGAGCACAGTGTTTTGACAGCTAGACAGCATACAAAGATTAAGAAATCTAGAATTAAGGCGCAAAAAAGTTGGAATTTTTCTTCGAAAACAAATTTCTCGGAAGCAGCAATTACGAGAGGATAATGACGACAGGGATGCTACCCTCACTATGGCCTCTGAAGCTGAACCTGTTGAAGCTAATCTTGATCGTAAAAATCAAATTCAAGCTCAGGATGTGACAAGAATAATTCCAAATTTTACAAACACAAATTACGATTTGCAACATTCCTCAAAAACCTGATTTTCCCCCCTGAAAACCCCAGAATCTTGGAACTTTAGGGGGGCTCCGCCTCCTCTACCCCCACTGAGGCATTGCCCCTGGAGCACACTAGGAGCCCTAGAAGGGGCCCCTAAACCCCAGGCCGTAACCTACGAGAGCTCCTCTCACTGCGCTTTGCTAAAATGTTACCCGACACTAAGTTTGGCCAGGTGACAACCCTGGGAACACCACAGCACTGTCTTACAAAACACTGTGCAGTAAATATTTCACTCCGCAACAAAATCAGCCAAAAGCAAATCTAATGCAATACAAATCTCACTTTGACTGACAACCTGATTCACTGAGTACATTCTGCTTGGAAAAGTTCTGTATTCCAGTTCTAATAACCAATCTAACCAACTGCAAGAATAGAGCTTATACCCTAAAAATAGAGCTACATGGCTCTTTGCTAGGTTCCCCTGCCCTTCCAAACATAAGGTGGCCCACCCCACTCATTGTAGTGACCACTTCAGCTTTTTTGGGTCCAATATTGCCACCTCACACTAAAAAAAATGTGGAAAAGCAAAAAAACCTTCAAAAAATAAAATCCAAAAACTTTGGGCAAAATTATTCCTGTTTCAGATTGTTCTCACTGGCAAAGAAGGATACGGAATGCAAGAGTAGTTTATCTAAGATGGAGCAGATTAAGAGTACATTTGTAAATGTACAATGTACTGTGTACTATGAGAAGGCCTGCTACCATGGTCAGCAATAAGTGCCATCGATGCAGGTACTTTGATTGTATCATAATTTGTTTTCACCACCTAATGCTCACTCTCCCCCCCACCCCCGGGGGAAACCCTGGCTCATTAAATAGCAACTGATAATCCAGAAGTCACAGGCTCATCTCAGGCTCTGGCAAAATCTGCAAGTTGAACCCAAAGCCTCATTACTGAATTTGTTGGGCTCATCTCACGCTCTGGCAAAATCTGCAAGTTGAACCCAAAGCCTCATTACTGAATTTCCATGTCACAAACACACTGTCTCACAACAAGCAATATGGGTAATTCCAGAAATTAGGGGTCCATGTTTTTTTTGTGTCTGACATGTGATTTTGTAAGTTCAGAACATTTTCTAATTTCCAAGAGAGATGAATTAATGCAAATTGCTAGCCAAACAAATTGTTATAGTTTAAATCAATTCCGGTGATATTTCCATGTCAAAAAACAAAGGGCAGATGTAACAGGGACACAAAAATGTCACACTTTTGGACCTCTAATTTCTAGAATTACCCATACGTATGCTGCGATATTCCAGATTTTCATGGGATGGAATTTAATTCAACTGAGATGTTAAAAAATACTTGCAGGGTGCGACATTTATAAAACATACCTGAAATACATCGCCATAGTTGGCTTCCCAGACAGAGCAAGCGATGGAACAGATGAGACACAACACAAACAGAATCAAGAAAATCTGTCAAACAAAATAAAGCCCAAGAAACCAAGGCTGAGTTCGGGCGGCTTGTTCTCGTCGTTCATCAACAGATTCGATTTGTTGTGCAAGGGTCGGCTGCTCGATTGCCAGGAACGTACAACCGGTCATCGATCAGAGTCAGTGGCAAGCAACATGCAACGGCGGAGACCATGTACATTCTTCTAGAGATAATGTTTGGATAACTGGGATAAACTCTTTTCCATTTAAAAAGAAATATTCATTTCTGTGTTATGGAAAATTATCAATGTTAATTTGGCAAAACTTTCCATTGTCTCTGGCTTTGTAAGCCATCTCGCCAGTTTTTGCGGCTGTTCAAAAATCAAATCTCACTAGTTTTTCCGCACATTCCTGTGCAACCCCCACGAGGAGGTGGTGTGTGATTGTGTTCCGAGAACAGTGTTCTTGGGTCGTGTTCCCACCATTCGAGTGCAAGAATAAGAATCCTGTGTCAAGAACTCCACTCCAAACTCCACCCAAGGGTCAGGACTCAGAGATTTGGACAGGTTAAAAACCCCATTTGACAACAGCAATTTGTCTTGAAAAGAAAACTACCAAGAAAGACGGCCAAGGCCGGCGAGGACCAAACTGTTTAACTGGAAGAAAAAGCCATCACTTCTGCAACATTTCACTGTTGTACACTCATATCAAGTTTCAAGTCAACTCAAAAGCTGTTGAAATGAACTGTGGCAAAATATTCCTTCGTCACTGTTTATCTTGACAACTAACTGTAACTCGGTGAGTGAAAGGACTTGTGTGGGGACCTGTGACTGGTCTTGTGACTGGACTCATAAGAGGACTTTTATGGTCTTGTTACTGGTCTTGTGACGGGACCTATACAAGGACTGGTATGGTCTTGTCACTGGTCTTGTCAGCTGCTCTACTCACCACCAGCACCAGCTTGTTGACCATGCGGTCGATGCTGGTCCTCTTGAACTTAGACTTGCCACTGTTCTGCATCAGTTTGGTGTCGCGGCCGGCGAAGATGACGATGCCGTAGCACCACTTTGTGTTGCGCAGTCGGCAGCCTCGCAGCAGGATCTGGTCGTTAGACAGCGGGAAGCTGTCGCCTTCCCATGTCAGCGTCCCCTCAAAGCGATCCAGCTTGTTGTTGGGCGGTTCGCATTTCACTTCCGCTGTAGACAAAATGTAAGCATGATGTATGTTCTGTCAAATCGAGATGCTTCTGGTTGAAAACAGCTTTTAAAAGTTCTTCAAATTAAGATCTTTACCTGTATGCAAGTATGGTTCTGTTAGTGAAATTATTAAAAGTTTATGATGGGACAGGAGAACTCATTTTTGTATTTACTTCTTTTGCTCATTTTCCGTATCATTTCAGGCTCTATCCAGAAGTATTACTGGTCACTAGAATAAATCTTGCAAGAATGTGGATTATTTCTTTTGTTACTTGGTTTCTGCTTACCTTTGAAATTTTTGAATCTGTCTAGATCTTCACCCAACAAGGCTGTCTCAGGCAACGCTTGGCGCACCTTGAGATTTGTCTCCCTAGATAGATACACATAGTAAAAGCAATATGTTACCTGTAAGGTGTATTTTTGACACCATGGATACAACTTGACATTGTTAACTCTAGCCAACTGGAACTGTTCCTTCACTTCAGACAAAAACATATCTGACCCCAAGTGTTTAATGCCCATCAGTAACAGTACATAACTGATTAAGAGCAACTCTTCTCTGCATGCTCTCCAAGCTGACTTTTTAAATTCTTGAAAACAAAATTCTCGAGCCACATGGGCCATATTTATCAAAACATCATACCACGGAAACGTAAATAAGGAGCTGAAAAATACGCAATTCAGGGGGGGACGGAAGGGGTCTGCACATGATGTGCATAAAACGGCCTGTGAGCCTATTCCATTCATCAAAAGGGGTTGTTCATAAGGAACTGTATCATTTATTGCTTCAATCTCCAGTGTTTCTATTATTTACTAGGATTATTGGAGCACTCGATCTATTTTCAATACGTACACCAGCCCTTTGTTTCATGGAGATTCTAGAAAAGGATTCCCATGTTTGCTTCTCGATCCTGCCGTGAATCCTGCACGCTAACACGCTTATAATGCGCACGTTGCGCCGTGATCTCCTCAAATTAACACCCCTAAAATCCACGCATAACGATGATTCAATTTGTAAAATTCCCACCTTCAACACTGAGTTTTTTTCTGAAATGTACTATGTGTAAAGGCCTCACCTTCAGACTGTAGTCGTTTAAAGGAAATCCTTCCCTTCAACATGACCATTTTTCAGCACCGTTATAAAACTGAGTGACGCGTCCCATTCAAAGTTTGTCCATTGAGTTTGGTACGCGTACGCGTCAAAAATTCTGCACGCTCGATCAAAACTTACAGAGCGTGGAGATGTAGATGCACAACCAACCGATACCACAGAAATTCGGGCAAGAAAGTTGGAAAGGCAAGGTCAAAAAGGAATAACAGGTAAACAAATTGAAACAAAATGTTTATCCTAAAAACAGGTTTCATCTCAAAAATTACCTTTTCTGACAAATGAAAGTCCTGCAGAAGAAAAATATTATACTACTGATTCAATACTTAGAGTCACACTTGAAATTATCAATTTTTGCCAGCTGTTCGTGGTTTCGAAGACTCATCGTGGTCCATCTTCACGCAGCTAAGAAACAAAGGATGTGCACGCCATCGCCACACAAGACTGAATGAGAAGAGTTTGAACATAGGGGGCGCTTGTCGCACAACACCCTTCTGTCCCCCCGATTCAGATGTAATGTGTGTAAAACAAAGCGTGTGAAAACCGGCCCTCGACTTGTTCTGTTGGGATCTTTTAAAGAATTTAACAGTTATTACCGCCTAAAATGTTTCACGTCATTCCCAGTTGTTGGGGTATCCAAAACAGTCTCCTTTACTCACCCATCCAATTCTGCTGTCTCAATGTACACCAGGCTGTGCGGTTCACTGGACGATAACAGCAGCAGGTCAGCAGCAACAAATTCATTGTTCTCCATTCGGATGATGTCCCCGACCTGCACGTCCTGCCACCGAGTTGATGTAAGCCTGAAGGTCAAAGGTCAGGAGTGGGGACAGCAAGAATAGTCATTAAATACATGTTTTGGGCAAAGGCCAAAATATCTACTTGGTTTTTTTGGTTTTTGTTTTTTTCTTTTCCACTTTTACCCATTGACATAACAGAGGATTGTTCTACATGTACATATACACACAATGTTGGGCCTTGTCTTGGGGCCAATTCCCTTCCAACCTGGCAGATAGTTAGATTACTACTTGCCAAATCCTTACATCATCATGATGACATCAAGAGTTGCATGACAGGCAAAGTTGAACATTTTGGCCGCCAATATCTCCGGAACTAAAGGTATGACCACAATGAAACATGGTATGGACACAAACCAAGACCTGTTATATGAGAAACCTGGGATGTCATGATGAAGTCATCAGCTGTTTTTAATAAATTTTTTAATTTTCCTTATTTAAGCATTCTATTTAATGTATCTCCTGAACAAAATTTTTTTTTTTTCAAAATTCTTCTTGGAAAACCTCTGGCTCGGGAACGTAGATTTCCATGTTACTGGGCAATTTTGTGAGATCCCGATGACATCATGACAATCAACATAAACCCAAAAGGCTTGATAGAACATCAAATAAAGATCATATAAAATTACATCATGACAAAATCATCACATGAATTGTTATTAAATTTGAATATGTATAAAAAAAAACCTTAATACTGTACACTATGCAAGATAAGCACACAAAAGTGTACTGCAACTGTTCCGAGGCATATCTTGGTAAGGTTCTATGAGCAACCGTTATTTTCTTTGCATAATGCCCTCTCTGGGCTTTGCTGCTTTTCTCAAACTTGACACCCCTACCAAATAGACCTACATGTATATGGCATTTATGCTGCATATTGTATATTCAAATGAGGAAAGACTGTTGGGAGATAAGTGTTGGCTGGGTCTATGAGCAACCGTTACTTACTTTGCATAACGCCCTCTCTGGGCCTTGTCGAGCTTCTCAAACTTGGCACGCCTACCAAGTAGACCTAAATTGGATTTACGCTGGGTACTGCATAATTTATGTGAGTAAACACACAAGTATACTGTAAGTGTTCAGAGGAATGATTTTGGTTTGTTAAACCCGCATGCATGAGCAACTAACTCTGTTTCACACAACGTCCTCTTTTGGCCTTCTCCAACGCACAGACCATAGGGCACAAGGAAGATCCCTGCACTGTGGTATATTATCACAACCCCTGTTGGTTGCAGAAAATAGTCCTCCTTGACAGGTTTGGGAAGCAAAGTAGAAGAAAGTTGGCTAACCTCCCACAATCACGAACTGTCCAATAATGATTGACTAGAAGATTGCGCCCGCTATATATCAACGATATCAACAAACAAGGTGCACCTCAGAGCAAAGTTTGTCATAAGTGTCATTTACCAGAAAAGAATTACAGCTTTTGGTCAGTACAGTACTCAGACTACTGATATGCCGAGTACTAAAATGAGAATTGGCTTTATTTTTGATACACAACACTTAAACACACTTTGTTACGGGAGTAATACCCACTGTACCAGTAGGTCATGTGACTTTGATAGTGGGCGCAGTCAATTACCTACGGTGTCTGACTAGTCTTATTGTTCACTGAATGATCCAGTGAGGACAAGAGAACCCTAACAATAGTCCTTCCCTCGAAAATTCAATCCTAGCGCAACATTGTGTATTCTTTATGTTGCTTGCGCATAGAGTACGTACATGCATTTACTCAAGATTACTCTGTAACTTCATCATCCCAAGGCTTCTTGGAATGGACCAAACTCGTTGCGGCAAACCCAAGTCCCCATATGGTTCAATGCAGAAATGTGTACTTAGAGACCTTGGTTTGATTCCCACCCATTTCAGCCTCATTTTGTTTCCACCCCAAAAGGGTGACCAAAACAGCTCTGTGTTTGTTACCTAACAAACACAAGTCTTGTTCCAGTTGCTTTTTAATATGTTCAACTTAAAAACTTGCTGAATACACCACTCGAAAAAAAATCAGAGAGCCCGACGTTTCAATTCTAGTGGGATATTTCTCAAACTTAAAGATAAAGATTCTACTCGGACGGAAAATAAGGCCCTCCAAGTGGTTGTTTAATTTAGGCTTGTGAGTTAGAAAAAAATTGAGAGAAAGCTTTAACCACTAGAAATCAATTGAGTCAAAGAAAAGTTGCATGCCCGTGAGCTGAGAAAAAACAACATCAGAAAACTCAAAGATGATTTTGACACCCTACTTGAATTTGGAAACAGGAAGAGATTGACAGACTTTGAAATACTCATGACCCATGTACATGTACATGTATGATTATTAAGTTTGGGTCACTGTTTACTCACTTGTTTTCAACCAAGATGTCCGTCTGCCTGTTGTTGACTAAACTGTCACTTCTGTGTCGTTGCTATAAGATTGGAAGTGGAAGAAAGACAGACCCATCAACACATTATGGAAAGGTTTTGTGAGACTTTTATCTAGTAAAAGGCAGTACACCCTATCAAGGAAGTAGCTAACCACTTAAGAAGTTAGTTTTCTCCTTTTTGATACTACAGGAAATGAAAGCTTTTTTATTTCACTTCCACATTTTCCATTTATTGCAGAGTTTCATTTGCAATTTAAGAAATCACTTCAGTTTCTAATGTATACTGGGTTAGCGTCCACACTCAGCAAGACAAATTTTACTGATTAACTGTAAATCACTTCCATTGCACACACATGTGACAAGGTTAAACTGAGAAATAATGATTACTAATCTGTAACATGTCACGAGAATTCCTCAAAGGGCAGGGAATGGGAGAGAATTGACTTGATAAAAAGCCGCAACTACTCACAAAGTCATCCACTCCATCTTTTGTTGCTGTGACTGCCAACACGAAGACAAGGGGCAGGCCAGTGGTGACCGGATTCAAGGAAGAGATCGGCCCTATGAGCTGTTAAATGAAACCAAAACAAGTTGATGCGATTAACTCCTGAATAGGACAACCACTATCGCTGTGCTTTTTACGACATGGCAGCATTTTCAACACTACAATGATAACCAAAATGTTTTTATTTGTCAAAAGCAAATTCCACACCATGTGTGTTTAAAGAGGCATTTAAAGTTTACGGAAGTCACTGCCAAGCTACAGTCATCTGTCACTGGCATACAGTGTACATGTATGTAAGCGTTATTCAAAGCTGCAAGCCCGGAATTCGGCCACATATGGTGATGTGCTACATGATCAAAATGTCCTCGGTCAAGAAAACAAAAAGGTGAGAGCACTCCACCAGTACTACCCTTTGCCTACGCCTGGTGGTGTTTGCCTCGCGCAAGTTTTGCACTCTGAAGATGTTTGAAGAGCGCCCTCTACTTCTTTCCACACAGCCATTACTGCAACCAACCGCACTATATGCTGAACAGACGGTTCTCATTCAAGGGCTGTACAATTGATGCAATTGTAACATGTCTCCTACCAAAATGGCATGTACGGTTGGTATGATGTACATGTACTTTGGTCTTTGCTGGTCAACAAATTTGAACAAATGAACAAATTTGGCCGGAGTGGGATTTCGTCACGCACTGGTGCAGTTCTTGGCCAACAGGGCCCAATTCCACAGAGATGCTGAGCAAGAAATACTGGTTTGCAAGTTTACCTGTATGTGCTCAGCAGAGAGCAACAGGGAACCTGTCTGAAGAAGTAGTAAGAGTATGGTGTTTCCGCTGATAACTTACTTTCGTTAAACACATATTTTTCACGCTTAGCTTACTTCCGGGCTTACATGTACGTACTGCTGGCCACATGAAATTCAACCCAGGCACTTGCTGAGCGACGGTATCTAATACTACATACATGTATATGTTGAATGTCTCCTAATTCTGTCAAAGAGGCACAAAACCCAACACAGCAGTCCAGCTATGTTTCAAAGGCCAGGCCCTTTATTGGCAGAAAGCAGTGTGTTGGGGTTTTGTACAGGAACCGACTGTCACAGAACAGTGACTCCGTGCAGAAGTGATCAAAATGCATACCACCATTGGCGGGGGCCACCACAAATGAATCAGTGATAACATTACCATAGTCAATGGATTTGTTTACATGTACAGACATTGTACTGTGTGCGGGGTACCGATATTGTGCCAATTTTGGTTTGATTTTCATGTTTCTTACCTGCATGATAAACAACACCAGGAAATAAAAGTTGGCAATGCGGAGGAATTGCTCAAACAGATTGACAGGAATGAAGGTCAGGATGTTGTACTTGGATGTCCGGATGTAATTGTTCTGAAAAAGTTAAAGTGGAAAAGGGAAGAAAAATCAATTAGAATGAATTCAAAGGGCTCCGTGTCATGTGGTTTATAGAAGCTTGAATTACCGCTAGTCATTGGGAAGTAGACACATTTTACTTCCATGTACATATCAAATAATACTGTGGAGTTGTCAGTGAAATACCCAGCTTTTCAATTTAAACCAGTTGGCGTCCATGCAACAGTAAACGTACATGCACTGCTAAATTTCATTTCCTGCACAAACACAAGTACGGTAATGCTTTTCCCCCCATGTTAGGTTCTAAGCAGCATCTCACTTCATCACCAGGTCACATTCTCCATTGCCATGGCAACCTGCACAAATTACTGGGAGTTGACGACCTTTAATAATGAAAACACGGCTTATCAACCCACTCTGCATTTCGCAGACAGTGAAAATAAAAAAACCTCGTCAAGAAGGAAACTGACGCCACCTACATAACTGGATGGCTAGCATGTCTTGACCCATAATCAGCTACAGACAATGCACATATATGTATGGAATACATGTACATGTCCATGTACACAAAGTGATGACAGCAACATACAATGTACATGTACACATGCACATGTAGTGGTCCATATACCGGTACATCGTGTGCCAGTACATGTAGTCTTTACCAACGCAGCAACAGATAACAAAAATTCAAAAACATAATACGCAGTAAAAATTGCAGTCGTCTCCCTGGTTCTGGATTTAACTTGCAAAAGCTCAATTTAATTTCACTTCTGTGCACGTTTTATATGTACATGTGCATGGAAATGTCCATGCTATGCACAGTTTTACATGTGTATCTAGGACTGCTTTGCTGTGCTGCTGATGTAGGAGTGTTTCTTTTTCTTTCTCTGGTTTTAATCAAAAACAGCATTATTCTGATTTTCGTGATTTGGATGGCATGCAGAGAATACCGTGGACACATTTGGATACTTACAGCATATCTGAACTGGGAATTATACTCCCGGTTGTTGGCCTTCAGGGAACGTTCCGTTTCTGTCGTTAAAAAAATGCAAGAGGAAGGTTAACTCATGTGGTATCATACACAAATCTAAAACAAAAAATCATGCAAGAGCTAGCTACAAATGTAAATGGCAAGTGTACAGTCCTTCCTACATGTATGCACAAGTAGAGAATCATCACATTCAACTTGGTGAAGTGACTTTCACACAGGACTACATGTAAATTTCCAAACTCCACATTTATGTTTACCGATGTAGACGTGCATGTACACATATGTATACAATACACCTGCACGCATGAAATGCAATGATCAAATCCTGAATTCAGGGCATCAATCACAGTGGCGATCACACAATGTACACGTACCAGTGCATGTACATGTACAATTGCTGTACATCAGCCTTTTACTGATAAAGTCTCCTTCAATCAACTAGACTATTACATTTTTAATTGCATCACCATGTATTTAAGCCAGGGGCCATGCGACAAGCTACATGTTCCTTACACGCAACAAATGTAACTTTTTCTCTGCCTGATGACACCTGGCTGATAAAAGCCTGAGATACTTAGGACAGAACAAGTAAGCTTTTAATTTAGTGCAAGTTCCTGCCTGAAGCCCCCTTCAACTGTACGTACAAGGTGGTCAGTCACAATGAACCACTCAATTACCAAAAAATGATCAGTTACCGGTACATGTACATGTATGGTAGTTCCAGACAAGAAAGATCACATTAGGGTTCTCTGAGAAGACAGGGGACATAACTTTGAGAATGATTTTTCAGACATCTTGACTACTTGCAGAATTACACTTACTTTTTTTATGCAGAACTGTATTCTTTATTTTATTCTTTATTCTAAATTCCTTTTATCGGAGAATAATTATTTATCATAGGTGTATATACCTTTTGTATTCATTTCAATTACATGTAGTTTGGAGAGCCCCTTTGACAGAATTTATTTCTTTTGGGCAATCCTTCGGGGGCTGATTGGAATATTCTTTGTAATTATTATTTTCTCATCTTATTGTGTTTGTATTTGTTCATTGTAACTCGATTTTCCCGAGAAATGAAATAAAATTAAAATGAACATCTTGCATCCGTGCGCATTAAATATCACAAAGATAAAGAACATTTGAAAAATAGCTTGAAAATCAGCGTTAAGTATTTTAAACAAAGAAGCAGAAAGGTTGGATGCTGGCTACATGCATGCACCAAAAAATGACTGACTGAGCTCAAAGCCTGCAATAATGTGGAAATTTGTGTAAAATATATACATGAACGTCATCATCCATGTTTGTAAGATACATCCTCATCAAAACAGAAACTCTAATTTGATAGCAAAGCCATGGCAATTTGTACAAATACAACTCGATCCAGACTGCATCCCGCCATGAGAGCTTGTTTCAGATGTGTTTGCCTGGCTCTGAAAAGCAGTTTCATGAGATGTACATCATTTCTGAATGTGTACTAACACGCTTCTACTGATGTTGTGATTCCATCCGTCAACTATAACACATGCACTGTATGCAGGACATGAATGACAAAGCAAGAGATTTCATAACCCCGATATAGACCTCTGGCATGGGGCAGCCATCTTGCTTTTCTACCATTCTACGCAATGTAACTCAACTAAGGAGGCTGAAAGAAAACGTAGTCTTTTGGCTTTTATCAAGTTGTATTACTATCGGTATTGCCAACGGGGCTAAAGGGGACAAGACAAACATGGCAGCATCATGGTAAGGTCTATGTGGCCCGCATACATGTACATGTACATGTTTTGCTAAATGGCTTCAACACCTTCTGTTCTTTTATTTTGTCACGGGACAATTAAATACAGAGTATGGTACATATACCATGTGCAATGTAATAATGTGGCATACTGATGTACAATGTAATAATGTGGCATGCATGAACAACATACCCTAAACAGTACACTGTACATGTACTTCCTGTACACGTGTAGCACTTTTAACTTCATGCACAGGTACTGTACACTGAGAATGATGATATCCTTGTCTTGTAATTATTTGAAGACCTTCTCTGTTCACCATGCAAAAGCAAGCGCATGACACGGACGTGAAACTTAAGCATGCAATGATGTCAGTGTGTCACACGAGGATAACACTGGAGTTGAGGACAAGATAAACAGGGACAACAACATTCACATGCATGTGACTCCTCTCTGCACTCTAGTCAACTTGAAAAAATGGGGAAGGTAGCAACCAAAAAAAGCAAAGCAAAGCAAAGCATGGATGAGGCCATTGAAATCATCAGGGGGTGGATGCTACCGGTACTGATGCCAATTCATATGAACACTGAAAGATGTTTGTACATCACCTTTCTCTTCGTTCCTCCTGAATATCTGATTGGCTGTGTGTTGAAAGGACATTAGACAAGGTCAAGACATACATGTATTCAGGGTAGGTCTTGTTTCCAAACCCACTCCTTGCTTGTCCCCCCTGCCTGCCCAACACTCTGTTAACCTGGCTCGCCCTCCCATCAGATTCCAACATGTACATGTGTTTTTTAAGTTGACAGATTCCGGACTGTACGGTGGACCACTCTGCATTTGAGGACCTAGTGACATGCACAGTACATGTGCACACACCCTGGTAATCTGTACACACAGGGCGAGGGGTGGCATCCTACAGTACATTGGATATAAACAATACGCATGTTGGTTTGCAACAAGTTCCAAGTGCCCCCAGGACGTGGGGAAGATTTCTTTCGTACTAATAAAATCTCCCCCCCCCCCAGCTTGGGACACACTGAACATTAAACAATCCAGTCATTAGTGTACCATTGAAATAGACCATAGAAGAGTCTTATGCACTTTGCCTCTACATACATACAATCAGCAGAATGTTATCCAGCCTAAGCTGAAGTGCACCCTCACCAGCGAGAGAAAGACAGATGGAACTATGTTTTCCAACCGGGTTCTAGCATGCGTTCAGCGTGCACTAAAATCGTTGCGCGTACTCAGCATGCTCCGCGTCAAACGTGCATAAACTTGCGCACCTATGCGGTGCGTGAGTACCAAAGGACTGTCAATTTCATTTCAAAACATGCCCTCTTTTGTTCCTGCTCGGAGCGGATAATAATCCAACTCCTGTCACATACAAGTACGCGTGCAGTGTACCGGCGTGACTTTTTCTCCAGCAAGTTTACATGTACCGGTACTTTTACAATCATGCCTTCTGTTTTCAAAGTGCGACGTACAATTTTGTTTCGATGAGTGCATTCTGGATGCAAAGGACTGATGTCTGATGATACAGGTACATAACGTACATGTATACATACATCACAAATTTTAGGTAAATTCTACGTAAGACGGTAGGTCCATGCAGAAAACGTTAGTAAATGCCCTGGTGCACAAGTACAATGTACATCATCAAATGAGCATCCAAGGTGTCAAACTACATACATATACGTGTACAATAATGTTTATTAACCAAATCCACGTGCAATTTATACATGTGGGTGTACCTCGAACACTTTAAACCCAATTTTGCAAAATCTAGAGACTCTTTTTGAGAAATATCAGCATTTCGATGCAAGGTGTTACACAGTTTCAAGTTCATGTGCACATATGCTCATCCACAGCTAGGGCAGCAGTTGAATTACATGTAGTAATGAGCATAATGCAAAGCGCTCAGGCAACTTGGCTTATGCACAGGTACATGTACATGTACCAACTTGGCAGAAAAGCACGGATCCATATATCTGTACATGTAAATGTATGTACATGTATTGTTTCAATAACATCCACTGTTGCACATTCATGAAGGTTGATCGGAATCCCCTCCGGATTCTGTCACTGTCAGTAGTAATAATTTCTGTGCTTCATGCACCTGTTTATTTGCTACAGAATTTAGAAGGCTGCAAGCAATTATAATGGAAGCAGGGTTAGGCTTACAGATCAGTCACATTGTTTTTATGGGAAAGAGGTTATTAAACAGGGAATTATGACCCACATAATGACTAACATGGTAGGTTCTCTTTGCATGTACAAAAAAATTGTCATTTGGGGAGTTCAGTTCCACCGCAAGAATGCTCAGAAAAAAAAAATGCATCGATGGGGGCGGCAAACAAGTCTAGTGACTTGATGTCATAATGCAGCTCTCATTCCCCAAGAGTTTCTTGACCTTGTGGTCATAATAGGTTGTCTGTTTCCTCGCCGGTCATTTTCGGCAAATGACAGCAGCCATCTGTCTGAATTTCACTGGGACCTCACTCCCGTTCAAATTGGGACGATTCAACTGTATCATACGATCCAGTGTTGACATCACCTTGACTTGCCTAATCAACAATGTCTATGTAAATGTACATATAATTCCAAGTCACTCTCATTGTCTAACTTCTTATAATTCACAGTTAAGTTCGAGCAAGAACAGCGCTAACAGGTGCGTTTGCCCCGAAATAATGAAAGTCGTATAATTGCAGAGCGGTAGCGTGATGTCATCGCAACAGGCTTCTACAAGTATGGATGGTTTTGTTTTCATTTTGCCTAGTATGAAGGAGAACTTCAACTCGTGCTTTTGACATCAGTAGCAATCTTTATTTAGTTTTTTACATTATACATTGTTTTAAATATAACTCAATTTCATAAAAAGTGGAAATGTGTATTACCAATGTGACTGATCTTTAAGGCAGATCTCAAAGAAAAAGAAAGGCATACAGAGTGGCTGAGGCCTATTCTTCAAAACTTATACAACTTTAAGAAGATTGATTAAAACTTAAAAAGAAATGGATTGTTGGACTGATCTTGCCAAATGCCATGATCAATGCGATGGAGGATGGCACACTAAACAGCAGCTCATGGGAGGTGAGTGCGATTCCAAAACGTTCTCGGTCCCCACAACTTACCGCTGCTGTTTATTCCTTCAAGCGTGCTATAGCCCTGGACTGACGGAGCTACAAATGGTCATAAAAACAACCAAAGAACTGTGGACGGGATCCTAACAAAATCTGAACAACTCCGGTAAACCACCCAGCAAGCAGGACGCAGTAGCTTCATCAGCAGCAACCAAGCCTCTCATAACGTCATACGAGTTTGGTTGCAAAAATCAAGATTAACCTTAACAGTCCTCAATCCTCCAGCAAGTGAAGGATTGAGGGCTGTTAGGGTTAAAGATGTCACACACTTGATCAGGAAAAGTGTGGTCCTATTTCCCGAAGTGGTCATTCTAATACTCATATTTGGCCAGATATATAGTACCAGTACATGTACATGTATGGAATATACTGCACTTCAGTACCGTACATTTGAATGTTTTGAACTTAACATTAAATGGAATTTTCTCACAGAGGTACCGTAGCATTAATTACTTTGCCAAATTCCTAGTGGCGAATGTACTGTACACAGGTACAAATGAATGTTACCAGGCCGCCTCGCTATATTAGGACAAATACAGTCTATGGCCAAACCAAAATATTTCACAGAATATAACACAGAAAAACTTTAATATCATTTCATATTACAATGCTATAAGGCCATGATAATGGGAAAACAAACCTTGGTTTTCTTTTATGTGGACTGACTACACATGTACTCATTTCTGAACATTTTATTCTGACAAATTTACATACCTAATGGACGTCCCATGGTGACAGTTAAGCCCCTTCACCAGGTGTACACCATCAACTAAAAACCTGCAGAGACTCCACTGTCAAAAAGATGCAACCACCGAATGTTCAACACTGAGCATCCACCTCCAGATGAAATCAACTAGTCTCTGAGGCTTTCATCCACGCAAAAATCCACAGAGAACTCTGCAACAGAGAATAAGTAGAAAATACTCAAAGACGAGTGATAAGTGGATGAGCTTTAGCTGCAATCAATTTGTTCTTAATACTACCCCTTGAAATGGACCTTTGTGTCTCAGTTCACTTTATTTTTAACTTTTGTCGACTCTGGTACCTAGTACTTGTACATGCGTGTACGGTATGTACCAGCAGGGCATACCTACATGCACACAGTGCTGGCAACAGCGCCCTCAGTTGTTCAGGAAAGCAAGGATAAGTTTAAAACTTTGAAATAGTGCACTTTTCACAATTTCAATGCATGCAAACAGGAACATATAGGAGTTTTCACACACTGAAGGAGAGTACAAAGTTGCAGAAAAATTGTGTCCAAGAAAAGTTAACAGCAGCTACACTTCAAACTCCGCCCACACTCCTCGCATCTTACCGGTAACTATACCTACAGGTACGTATGTACACGTACCAGCAGGACTGCTTTCAAAGAAAACGCTGTGGAGTTCACACCATCTGTGGCCTGAGCCATATCATATCAAGTTGCAAATGTACATACTGCAATGGCACAAATCTCCCATAAATCAGGCGCAATTCTTCTACATGTATGTCTTCATGTTGATAAATGCCAATACTCCATAAAGGTAAAATTGTTCCCTGCGCCAGTGAGTATGACAGGGTGCTTCACTGTATGCATCTACCGTACCTGTAACTTGTAACTTCACTCTGCGGAGTTAATTGGCCCTTCCTACACACTTAAATACTAATGAATATTGCTTGAGCAGACGATCTTTCATGCATGATTTCTTTTGACTTGCATTTAATTATTCACATACATTGTATAGCTTCATTCAAACCAGGGCTACTAAAACGATTACACTGATGTGCAGACTGTTGACTGTTTTATTGGGGAAAATACACACAGAATTTTGGCCCAGAATAGTTCGGTGAAGTCTGTTGAACACAATTTGAATAGTTTTCAATTAGTAGTTAATTCATTCTTGCCAAAACCTGTTTTTTCTTACATCTCCTCGCCCCAAACCATGCCACATTCTCCCTTAGAATTTAAAACTGACGAGAAGGGAAAATGGTCACAGTAGTAGGGGTTTTTAATTAAAACTGGATTCAAACTGGCATGTTAAATGGACACAAAACTTCACGCATGTGTCTCTGGTGGCAAACCACTTCAAATATTGATACCTGTTTGTGGCAAACTTGTCAACGGTTCACTGATCTTCCCCCAAGGCTAATAAATAGCACCTGCGGTATGGTGCACTAAAACTCAAAAATACCACCAATATATAGGCAGTGCACTGTACCCAGAGTAACCTCAATTTTTCATGGATAAAGGTGTGAGAACACAGGTACCAGTACAACTATACATGTGTATGTTTGCACAAAGATGATTCAGTGTTTCCCAATTGTAAACATACATACGTGTAGGTTGTTCTTGTAGTAACACACCTGTTCAGAAACGCAGATCTTTAACCCCTGTCCTAGATTCAGGGCTTGCCCTTTATTTTTTCCCAACAGTAGCCCGCCGGGCTAGTAAATTGTGATTTTTACTAGCCCGCAGAGATTTTTACTAGCCCATGAAATGTGTGGAAAAAAAATAACAGTTAAAGCAGGTTTCTGACTTAAGAACGTTGTTGACTGTTGTTCATGGTTGGCTAGAAATCACCGTCGCTGGTAGTGGAGTCCGGATATTCTTCCTCTTCGCTGTCACAACATTAGTCTTGGTCCACCAAGACGTTTCTATCAACCGCTATCACGTTGGTTTAGTTGTACATATTTTTAAAGATCCAATATTTAAACCATTTTTGTAACATGGTAACATTTGAAGATCCACTCGATTGTGATTAAGTTCGCATTTGGTAATCCATCAAGGCTGTTGCCATTGCAGTTGTGTATTGTTGTCTCATGTTCCGTATTTGTTTATGCCTTGAGAAATGATAAAGGAGATGAAAAAAAAAAAGAGATAGCGGTTTGTGGGTAGACTGGTTCTTGTTCCCTACTCATTCACCAGGCATGATTGTCCAGTGAGAGGCTTCAATCAGGGGTACAACGAAGTCACTTACGAACCGGATTGTATCAGGCTATGGATGCAGTATCGGTTCTTGGTATCTGGTTCCCAGTACAAATTGTATGTTAATTATATTGGTCATGTATAGGGGTCACTGACTACTGGAGTAACTATCGTTGATGCATTGATGATAGGTACTAGGTACAATGTACACATACACTGTTCCAGCACACAATACAGGATTCAAGGTGTAAACGTGTACATATTTTAACTAGCCCACTGGGCAAGTTGGGAAGGGGTTTTTACTAGCCCGCAGCCGTTTTTACTAGCCATTGTACGCCGGGCTAGCGTTAAGGTTGAGCCCTGAGCCTAGATGTACATGTACATGCATTTCACCAAAACCCACAAGGTTTTTTCTATTCATTTCAAAATGAAATCAGTTCATTTTTTCCAGTGGTTCATACATAATTCGACTACTCAAAACAGGTTAAGGACCACTTTTTTCTTAACTTGTAAGTTTTTTCAAAGCAATAAGTGGAGTGTAGATCTTTTCCTTTTTTGTGTAGATGGTATTCTCATTGGAATAAAAAAACGTTTAAAAAATGTTTCAAAACATCAAATGCACATGTTCAGCAGGAAAATACATGTATCTCACATAAAAAAGTATACACAAAGTAAAAAGTGGTCCACAACTTTTTTGAGTGGTGTTAGTACTTAAGGGGAAAGGGAAGGCATTTCCAGCCTTACCAGGGTTTAAAAGCTACGACTTACATTTATGGAAACAAACATACATGAACGTGTAAATTTAATATTTCAAAACAAAACAAATCCAGCTGAATGCGATAATTTCCATTTGCTCCAGCATGATGCTGTCTATCGCACTGCTCAGACCAACCATGCCATCCCATGCTTAATGTAAGCTTGAACAATTTCATGGCCCAGTGAGTTCAGTGTAAGGGTGAAGGTGAAGGGTTGCGGACATCACTCCACTGCTCAACTATTTAGGTCACCGTAGGTGATGAAAGTACTGTACATGTACATGTACATGGAGAATTTATACCCAGTAGGTTGTATCGGTACATGAACATGTACACTGTACTATTAACATATGTGCATATAGATTCAGCAGGTATCCCACATTTACTGACGAAAATATACCTGAAAAGTACATGTATATGTACATGTACATATGTACTTGGATTAAAGATAGTCATGGGACTAAGCTCCCTGTGGAATAATTCTTTCTTGCAAGCTGTCATTTTGAAGAAAGCGATGACAGAAGGCAATTTCCAACCAAAATGCCATTGTAGTTTGTCTTTAATAATTCAGCAAAGTGTTGACACAATGCACACATACATGTACATGTAATTTGGCTGTTCAGTGCACAACATCGTTAAGTTGTAATTGGCTGAATTAAAGCAGATCCGAGACGCTTAAGTTGGGCACAATTCAAAACATGACTCTGCAACTTCTGATTGGACTCTGAAATCCTAGACTACTGTTTTTCTCAGAGTATGCATATACAGCATTGACTGAGCTCAAACTTCATAAAGTGCATGTACTCGTAGGAAGATTGTTGGCACTTTTGTTGCCTAAAACGTAATGCACAAGGGACAAATGGACTACACCTTTTAGTATACGCACATAGTATTACTTACTGTCAACCTCACTAAATAAAAAAGACAGTTCACCTGCATGTAGATGATAAACCATATGGCCAAACAGTCTGGGCATATGCCAAAAGTTCCAAAAATTACAAGATGACTCAAAACACTCTACGTGTACGTGTACATCCAATCATAACATTCAATTCATTTTAAACTGCAAAATCAATCAACAGTCCCAATGCACCTGCTACGTTTGATCGAATGATGGCCCTGATGAGCACGCTGCCTCACCGCCCTGTCTCAGGCGAGCACTTCCCTGTAATTTCAGAAACTATATGTAATCTGTAAGGCATGTGGGCGCATTCCATCATGATTAGAAACGTTTGCTGTTGCAGTGTACATCATGTACATGATTGTAATGGCACAGGTCCGCTTTCCCGAGTCGCCAGCTTTATTTCTCACACATGAGCCGGAAAGCACACTGTGCACTGGCCACACCATCCAATGACTCAGTGACTACACTAAAAAATCAAATGCCAAATACAGTAAGTAAGGTGGATGATTCAATGCACTGTTCAAACACTGGGAACACTGAGTTTTTCTATTCTTTGGTTCAAAGTTCATTTTCAGTGCAGTGTATAAATTTCTGCCCCATTCAACATGTGCAGGCACTATGAATGCACATGTATCATCTTGACATAAATAATACAAAATCAACGTACATTGTACGTACTCATAATATTGAACAAGTTCACAGTTACTCTAAGCATATTTCCAATCAGCAAAGGCTTCATCAGAAACATTTCCCTACTCTATAATCAGACATATTTGAGGTACATGTACAATGTACTGTATGCACCGTCAACAGCACAACATGGTATAAGGTGATGCCCAGCCCTGTTGACTTGAAAGCCCCTCCCCCCAATGATGTTTAGCAGGACCCATCTGTCCCTACATACATGTACATGTATACTGAGGGGTGTGGTCTAGTGATCAAGGTTCATAAGGTGATCCCAGTGTCAGGGGCTATAATCCAGCAGCTTGATTTCTGGTACATGTTGAATCTTTGGGCAAGTCACTTTACCTCCCATAATGTCCACGAGACCACCTCTCTTCACCAGGAGTATCACAGGCACCATTAGAAACAGTGCGGATGCAAAATCCATGTACATGAATCCTAAATACGATTTCATTTTGTCAGTTCGCTGACCTCATTTTTTTTAAACATCACATCGCTGTCTGAAAAATAAATCAAAGCAATCCCTGATCGAATGAATCATTCGAATGATCGGATGAACTGGTACATAATTTCTAAGCCAGCTCAGCAGAAAAGCCTTTTTGGAGAGGGATTGCCAGCTCTATCGTTCTGCACCACCATGCATCTCTTGAAGTGTCACAAAAAAGTACCCACATGTACATGTACCATGGAGGAAGGGACACAGAAGGAGTTCGAAGTTGAACTGCCCGGGCTATAACATCTGGCCAATTACCGCTTTCTGGCAAGCCCGGTATTTCCATAGTCACAGCGCAGCGACTGCTTGCTATGCACCACCTTCTTCAGAACCATAAACCCCCTTTGTACCCCATGATCATCGCTGCAATTTTTCGCTGGTAATCTGCATCCTTAAAATGTTGTGTACTGCAGTATAGGAAGTTGACTATTCATGCCATCGTTGGTGCTTGGTATGATCCGACAACATCACATTTAATGCTTGCGCAGTTGCTGTCATTAGGCTGTGTACCAGAAGTGTTCATGTCCAGTTATTACAAATGCTTTCTTCAGGACTTATTTTGGGAATAAACACCCAGTTGTCTATAAGATTTGTTTTCTTTCAATAATTTTATTACGGAATTGATACCAAAAGGTACTTTATGAAATCTCATGATCACTCCTTGTGATGAAACAGTGCATTTTGTTTTTCGTGAACTTATCTTTCCTGTGGTGGCCAACATGTTGTTAGGCAATCTTAGTCAAATTGGTACAAAGACTTAGAAACTGATGTTTTGGAGTGACAAATAAAATTACAAAATTGCACGGATAATGGAAATGTGAGAGTTAGGTTAAAAAAGACTTTTCTTGTTTTTAAATGTCTAAACAAATTGGCTCCTATGTATGTGACAAATCTGTTTATGCCATTCACACAGATTCGTGAAACAAGATACATGTACTCAGTTAACAAGGCACTTAAAGTCTCTTTAGCCAAAAAAAGAATGCTACACTCAAAGTTTTGCGGTGAAAGGTGCCAAAATATGGAACAATTTGCCAGAGCAACTCAGAAGTATAGACTCCTTAGGGACAATCAAATCAGAACTACGGAAAGCCATGACCAGTGTCGTGTAGTCCCAAACGCTGATCTATGGAGTTGTTAACTTGGTTGTCAATGTTCATTGGAGCCGGATCAGGAATTTCCCTGTGTTCTTTTTTCCCATTTTTTTTTTGCAGGGTTTTTGCCCATCCTGTGATCAGTATTCAATGAATGCCTTATTTAAATGTTCACATGTGTATGATACTTTAGTGGTCTGTATTTGTAAATATTAATGTTTGCCATATTTGTCAATTTTACTTTTCGTCGTGAGTTTCTAACAATTTTATTCATTTGTAATGATCGCAGGGCCTCAATGGAAACCAGTTTGTAAACTGTTTGGGCATACCCTGGGTGAAGAAATGGAATCAATCAAACTCTTAAAAAAATATTCACAACAGCAAAAGTAAATCTAATGTTAGATATTTTTTCTTTCTATTTCCTGGACACTGCGACAAGTTGTAGTTACATGTAATTGCAAAGAAAACACCACAACTATTGCTAGGTATTACTGGCCCCACTTGTCCGGCTAAGCCGCAGGCAGTAATCAGGCATTTGGGGAATATTTACTAGTGTTCGTCTGACCGGGCGGCGATGATCATTGAGCACTTTGACTTACCAGAGTTGTAACTCCTTCTGTGTCCTTCCTCAAATTATGTACTTGGGTTAAAGCCTCAGGCCATAGGTCTTTGAAGATGCTGCTGGTGACTGACTGTGACTATGACAGTAATGTGATGATTATCTCTTTGCCAACTGAATAATTGATTCAGTGCATTCATACATCTTGCAAATACATATATGCACATAATGTGCATTGTCGGTTGATGTACATGTACATATACAGTACATGTGGGTAATTCCAGAAATTAGGGGTCCAAAAGTGTGACATTTTGGTGTCCCTGTTACATCTGACCTTTATTATTTTACATGGAAATATCACCGGAATTGATTTCAAACTATTACTATTTGTTTGGCAAGTAATTTGCATAAATTTATCACTCTTGGAAATTACATGTAAAAAAATGTGTTCTGAACTTACAAAATCATGCGTCAGATGTGACAGGGACATGAAAGAAAATGGACCCCTAAATTTGTAGGGAGGCAGTGGCAGCCTTTGTAAAGTGTTACACCCGTTTCAGACAGGTGTTCCAGAGTTACGCCAAACCAAATTAAAAGCAAATTTTGAATTAAGTGTGGCGAAAGTTCAACATCTGAAACAATTACATGTACCTGCAGGAGTGACCAGGCGTGCTACCGGGTGAAAGATAGACACTAAAAGGCACTCGGAAGGACACCAGAGCGACTTGGTTTCAGACTTCAATCTTTTCATGGCCTGAACCCAATGCAAATGTATGTACATGTATTAAGTTCATCTGTATGAAACCAAAATTCAGTTGGGTCAACCCGAGTTGCTTTTGATTCTATTTGGTTTGGCGTGACCCTAGAACACCTGTCTGAAATGGGTGTTAGCTACGTTGCAAGCATTTACCCAGTTAACATCAAATTCCAGCTTCCAGTGAAAAATTGCTTTATTTACCTTATTAGATTATTTCTTAGCAAAATACACTTCATGAATCAGCAAAAGTTACAAAACATTTTGCCTTACCAAAAAATCGAACACCCGGTACTCTCAAAATGTGTTGAGTTTCGTGTTGAATAACATGGATCGACCAATGGGGAATAGCAGCTTTTCTCTTTTGTGTTCAATGACTGCCAACTTTTTTCATTCTGAATTTTGACGATGTGATTAAAACCTCCATGCCACAGACAGGATGGAGGTTTGACCTAAAGAAAGTTTTTTTTTACCTTTTATTTCTTGAACTTCAACTTTTACAAACACCTTTTGGAAATGTTTATTTTGTGAAATTTCTTTAAGGTTCTACTGTACGTATATGTATTTTGTTTCCCATTGTTTTCTATTGCCTTGCTAGAACCTGTTTCTTTGTACATGTACAAAGTAATTTAAGATGCTCAATTCAGTCTATTTTCAATTTTTTTTTCCATACGTAGCTTTACAAATTTAAATTATTTTATTCATTTCTAATTGAAATTATTTTATTAATGTTACATTGTAATGTTATGTTTTTATATTCATATTGTTTTATTTCTTAAGTTTTTGTATTTACAACTTTTAGAATTATTGTGTTCAGTTTCCTATTTAACCAGTTGGAGACCCCTCAACAACCACGGACCATTTACCCATGGGTCAACCTGAGTTGCTCTTGATTCTATTTGGTTCAGCGCAACCCTAGAACACCCATCTGGTGTTTGGCATAGTAAAAGCATTGTGACAGCACATATTCTTCGAATTTTTAAAGCAATTTAAACAGCTTCAAACTTCAAATCTTCCAGTAGTCATTTCCAGTTCATTTGAATAACTTTTTCAAATCAACAACAGGGAAACAAATTTCAAGAAAGAACAGTATTTTTACTTTTTATAACATGAAGCTACCCAGTGTGTCACTATTTAACATCCTTGCATAACTGATTAGGAGTAAAATCCATAATGTGTCCTTTTATCTACTTGTTTGTTTTGACGGCCCTCACTAGCCCAAACACTAAATATGGCACCCCATATCCTTGAGTGGTCTGCCCCTCTTCTGTACACCCCATGACATGTATTTTCGGTTGAACGGGGCAGTGAAATAATACGAAAGTTAGTTCTTAAGAATATCGCTGCGCAGAGAGTTATGGCGGTGAGAGGTAAATGCAGGATATACAAGGCGTCTTGTAGGCATGAATTGCCATCCGCATACCGACAGATGATTACATTCTCTTTTTGTTATGCATGTTATGCATGTTATGCTTAATACAATTCAGTTGTAGGGTTTTCCAGAGTAATTTCTCCACTAAGGGAGTTTTGATCTCTGGTTTTTTATCCCACAACTCGTCCACTGAATTATATTAACAGTAAGATTGTCAAGATTCCTATGAAAGGTATATTATGTGTAAGTCTAACTCATGGAGTGTGAATACACAGGGTCCTGCACATCTGTCGGTAGGCCCTCCCAATGCCATGTTCTTTGTATGCTCAGCAACAACCAGCACAAGTTAGTGAACACCCCATCCACACCCCTGCCACACCCTTGGGTTTATGTCTATGCCCTTCCCCGTTAATCAGGTTGGTGCATATCCCATCCATTACATTTATTTATGAATATGGGCAACCCAGTGTCAACCCAAGCAATCTAGCTCTCTTCTGGAAAAATATGAGAAACAAACACTTAAAATGGATCCACCACTAATCTTTATTCATATTCATTCTCTTGACAACGCAAACCAAAAATTAACACCTTGAAACTTCAAATATAAGTGAAGGGTCCTACATATATTTGCACCCCTGAAGTGCTTCACTGAGTCAACAAATTTTAACGACATCATGTGACACATTAAAAGTACATACTAGACAATACAGGGCGAACTGTTAGATGACATGAAGACTTCTGAATTTTTGATGGGGACTCACGACACAAATTCTAGTATTTGTGTCTTGGCAAATTTACCAAAAATGAGTACACATAACCTAAGATTAGAGGATTAATTTCCAACATTTTGGGGTCTTTTGCAAAACTTCTGAACACACACAAACGATACAAGCAAGCGCTGGCTGTTCAATAGCGTGCACGTCTGCAAAACATTCACTGAAAAACGAATGCATAGAAAATGGACTATATAGATTGAGGGGGAGGGGTGCTGATATATATGTAGGCCTAGCATTCTCCTGTAATTGCAGTTTCTCAAAGTAACACATTTTGACATTTTGATGTAGCCATTCAATAAACCAATCAACGTGGTTACTTCCTCTTTGGTAAATTTGGGAAAACCAACACTTTTGGCTTAAAAATGTGCTAATATTAGACCTCATGCAGATGTGTGTTGTCCTTTTCCACCTTAGCTCAGAGAACAAGGAAAAAGGAAAGATGCACAGTGTAACGTTAGCTAGGCCTAGCTCAGTAGCGGCAAAACTTCCTAGCCTTTTTTTTTTTTGGTAGGCCTAGGGCCTAGGCCTATTTGATATTTTAAAAGAAAAAAGTGGAAACAGAGTCCCACTGCCAGTTGGCATGGTTGGAATCGCAATTCCAAGACATAATTTCAGCTTTACGATTCAACTGAATATTACACTACTGCATGCACGCGCACCAGCCGGACAAACTTCTGCACAAAGTAGTAGAACTAGGCCTACATATACTGCATGTACAGTGTACATGAACTTGTCCGCTTCAGAACACCATAGTCGTTTCCTTCCTCCATGGTTAGCATGGTTAGTACTGCCACCTTTCCAGCAAATCCGCGCAAAATCCTGGATCTTTAGTTTATCGACAAATACTTACCCCAATAATCTGTGGCTATCTGACCGGAAATATCTTCACGCTATCAACAAAGTCATTACACCTTCGGAGGCCGCTGGAACTGATAAACAACAGAACTACAAAGCCAACCTTAAGTACTCACAGCGGCATGCACCCGCACAGGCATCATTGACAACACCCACAGTCGCCATTTTAACTACTTGTGCATATTCATTAAATATTTAAATCACTAGCCCTCTTTTGTGTTTTGTTGTCAAACGATCCTGGCCCCTGCGAGTCGCAAGCGCTGGGACGGTACGGGCGTGACGTCGGTGAACGGCAACGAAAGTGCAGGGGTACTGAATGGTGGGCCTAATAATCGATTGTGTTATTTTCTTCAGTCGTCGAATCTTGTTGCTGTTTACAGCTGTGTAAATAAACAAATTGGTAATCTATCATTTCTGAGCTTCATGGAGTAAGAAAAATCAATCAGAACTTTAAAGCGACCTATAATGTACCATGCGCTGTCATTGGCTGTGGCACTTTGAATTCTAGGATGCCATAAAGCAATAATTTATTTTAAACGGTTTTTCTATATTGTCTCAGACGTGTTGCGGCACTTTTAAAATTATTTTGTATGGTTTTCTTTATATTAATTGCTGTTTCTATTATTCGCACTGTTTCTCATTTGCTTTTCAGTGTTTTTCCGATTTACGGGTTGTTCCTACCACATGTTTAAAGCATGGAGGTAGAATCATGTTTAAAGTATCTGGAACTTCTCTTATGGGTCTGTTCTGTTTATATTTTCGAAATTATTGTGGGTACTTAATTTTTTTAAGCAGTTTTGTTTATATTTGTATCCTTTTTCATTGTAATATTTTTGTTATCTCAGTTTTGTTCGTATTCATTTTTCGTTTTTTGGTTATTGTATTTTGATTCCTTTTAAAGTTCTTTTCTGGTTTGTTTTATGATTCTACCTCCATGGTTTTATGTACATGTATTTTCATAACCTATTTGGGGGTAGCTTTATATATATGACTGTTTTGTAGTCTTGCTGGTTTTTTAATATATGTAAATTTCTGTTATGTCTTGTAAGCCTGTTACTCTTTAAGATCGATCCAGATCTGTGTCAGTAGTGCAGTGGTGTAATACTTAAGGGCTCAGGTATACTGTACTTATTTACATGTGCTCTCATTTGAAACGAAACAAAATGAAACAAAGGAGCGAGACATTGTGTTTTCATGGTTTTTATTCCGAACTGAAAGCACCAATGTATTTACAATGAGACACTTGTTAATTAAATCTGAAATTAATTCCGTGACCTGAATTTCTGGATGGAACTCATACAACATTTTTGAAAAACAAAACAAACATCACATTGAGATTAAAGCGAGATACAACTTTTGGAATATAGGTCGTGCATGACAAGTACTGCAGCTATTTACAAACTTTTATTTACAAAAACCTTACAACTAAGGATCTATTAACAAAAAAAGGAAAATGCCCCTTTTGAATCCTTAAGCTTAACCAGGCCAGAATGACAATTTACTTTTGCTTCTTTGAAAAATTTCATTTTTCAGGGGAACAAGACAGACATCTGTGCATCAGCCCACTTTGATCTAGCTAGATGCGAAGCAATGCAGACAATAATTAGTAAATTTGAAAGTAAGAACCTGACTTCACATCCATCTCAGCAAACTGTTACAAAAATATCACACACACTTCCTTTCTAATAAAAACACACTCTTGTATAACCTGAAATGAAGATTGTTGAGCTGTAATATGCAACCGGCTTCAAAGCAAAGGTGTCAGCAACTTTAAAATGGGAAGTGACCATTGAGATAAATTCTAGATATATTAGCATCTGTTGTTTCCTCTCAAAGCTAAGCACGATTTTTCAAAATGAACTACAATTTGATAGTTACATTTCATAGTGTCATTCGAAACCAGAATCTGTGAGCCCCCAATTTTTTTTTTCAAATTAGTGCTAAATAAGCTATATTGACAGACACACAAGCCATAGCAAACTCTGACAGGATGAATGTACAAGGCTGCCTGTCTCACAGATCCTGGTTCAAATTATTAGTCTCAATTCTGATTTTTTGGAGGGGTTCATAAAACAGTTGTGGGCCTCACAGGCTCATCTTTCTGTTTGCTCTGGCTTTTTAAGAAAAGACCCAAGGTACAAGGCACCATGGTTCTATGCCAAAGGCACTTATGAGAAATACATCAATTTATTACTGGGAACGTATATCATGTGACATTGGTGGGATGTTAATTTCCGGTAACAATGCACCACATTCCATGGGAAGCATATAAAGCTTGTCCTTCTGTCATGAACTATACTTGACTCTTAATAAATAATTCCATCCTTACACATTTGAAAATGTTCAGTTCCGACCACTTGCATGAGAAGAAAAGCACAGTGGTGCATGATGTCATTATCACCGGTCAAAAAAGATATTTATGGACGGACTCTCCATCTGGAGATTGCAAATTGTAAAAAGTGCCCTCTTGCAATTCCTAAAAGAATGATTTCACATGAATGGCAGTCACAATTGGTATTATGGCAACTGAGGCCATCTGGAAGGCAAACTTGATAAAAAAAATTACAAAATATTTTTCTAACTGGCAGGTTATCAAATTGGAAGTAGTCTGTCCCCAGGGAAGAGAGCCAAAAATTCATTTTTGAATGCTGAACAATGAAAGAAGTGTGCGAGGAGTACCAGTCAGGTTCTTATCTAGGGCCTAAAAATAAGGCTAGAGAAGCCTAAGCATACCTTGTTCAGGCCTGAAATTACATGTAGTCCAACATTTTAAATGAAAAAGCTTAAAACAAGCCTTATACCTGAAACTGGCATCTCTGGTATGCAAGGAATGTCTTTCTGTACAAATTTCTTAGCATACATAAATACAGTATTAAAACTTTCTTAAAAGAGGGCGGATTCAAGGCTTGTACATGCATCAACAACATATTCACATTGGAAGCTCGTCTTCCTGTGACCTCCCGCCAGCCGACTTCTGAGCCATATAGGCCCGCCTCATGGGGTGCATCTTGTCAATGACAGGGCGGGCCAGGGCCTCCTTGAGCTTGGCCTGGTACTCGGCCTCGGCTTCCAGCCCCCGGAGGTACTCCAGGTGCTCCTCGTCCTTCTCGGCCTCGTGCTGGCGGCGGGTGAAATCCATCTGGCCCAGGAGGTGGTCCTGGTAGGCCAGGTTGTCACGCCGGATGGCGGCCAGCTTCTCCTCCTCCAGCCGCTGGTGCTCAGCCATGGCCACCTGCATCAACTCCCGCTCTTTCTGGAGCTCGATCTGGGCCTTGGCATTTTCTGCCACTGGAAGTTTTTTTAAAAATATACATATTTATGCTAATAAGTTACTGTAAGGTATGATTCAGAGACCTCCAAGGGCCAAATTCACTGAGCTGTTCACACCAGGTTTTGGGAGGAATAAATGTATATTTTCATTAGTATCTATTCTACGTCGTCTAGCTAAGGTCTCAGTCTCAACTTTGGACCCAGAGGTCTCGGGCTCAGTCCTCAGGTCTCTGTCTCAAGCTTTAACCCTGACACTCCTCAATCCTTCACCTGTTGGAGGACTGAAGAGTGTTAGGGTTAAGGTCTCGACTACATCACTGCCACCAGGGCCATGATATTGGGCACTGGTTGCTTGAGTTGTTATCACGTTGATACCACATCCAATATCAAGCCAAGCCACAAGCAACTTAAATTTAATTAAGACAAGGGAAAATTCCCTTCGATCCTCTCTTGTAGATCCTTTGTGAACTGACTTGGCTTGACTTGAAATTAGCAGTTCAAAATTTAATAAATATATGTACACCAAGGCAAGAAAAAAAACTGTTTTAAATCTTCATCACTACATTCCTAATGTAAGGCAAAAACCAGGCAGTCAGCCCAGCCTTTCCGTCGTCCACTGCACACTTACACAGGATGGACACTGATGAAATTTACCAACTACACAAATGAGGGTCTTACATTTTTCCTCCACCTGTTGGCGGCGCACGGCCAGCACGTTGTCCATGAGCCGTTTCCTAGCCTCCCGCTGCTTGGCCCAGTCGTCCAGCCTCTTCTGCCACTGCCGCTGCACCTCAGCGTCCACCAGCCTGTCGATCTCGCGGTCTCGCTCCTGCTCATCCAGAGCAGACTGCTTGAGGTAGGCGCGGTAACGCTGGTCTTCTTCGCGAAGCTCTTTCTACAATAACACAAGATAACATTTCCCCTTATCTATACTGCCTCTTCAATGATTACCCTGTCTGGTGAGCAGTTCCTGCACAGCTGGCCTGCAATTAATGCATCACATATACAGGTATTCGTGTGGGCCGTGATGCTTAATTGGCAGCATTGACCATACTCCTGAGGGGGCTGCAATCATTTCAGGAATGTTCAGATGCTGTGAGCTGCAGAGATAAGCAGGGCTAACAATATTAAATCAGTGCCTTTGAATGACAAATATTGCCAAATGATGTGCACGTCATTGATGCTTCATTGTTATGGGACGGTTGGGTTGGTAGCGTGGTTCTTTCCTTGCTATTCACCTCAAAAGCCTGGGTTCATTTTCCAGCTTGGTCTACATGTGGATTGGGTTTTTAGTCCCCACCTGATTCTGTGGATTTCACATGAAACATTCTTCTGAGGCTTTCCTCCCGCCTCTAAAACTGTAACTGCTCCTCACTGTCTCCTCTCAACAGGTTTCCTCAGGCTTCTTCAAGTTACAGTGCCCAGGATGCTTGCCAGGAATCTTTGGTTTCATTACTAAAAAAATTACATACTAATCATAACAATAATAATAATCAGCAGTAATACCTTAAGTTTGGCCTTACCTTCCTCTGGGCAATCTCCATGGCCTCGTTGCGTGAGTCGCTCAGCAGCTTCTCCAGGATGTTCATGTCCAGGGCCAGTTCCTCCTGCATCTCTTTGGCGTGGCGCCTGGTCTTGAGCCGGATGTTGGTGGCGATGTCCTCCCGGGCCTGCTGCTGCTTTGCCAGTTTCTCCTGCTGGGCCCGCTGCTCCTCCATCTTGCGCAGTTCCCGCTCCTCTGCCTGTGACGAGCGGAGAGATCAGGTCAAGGTGAGGGGAAAACTCTGTTAGACCAACAGATTTTTCGAGCGTCAAAAACATCAAATTTGAAAAAGAATGGCCGTTAATTTAAGGGATTTTAGCGAGAGAAGAGGATACATTACCTAAGGAGGAACAAGTAAGAAGGCAATATTAACTCACAAAAACACCTGCCAAATAATTATGAAATACCTCATTTGAAAGCAAATAACAAGGCCAATCAAGTTGTGATATCTTTGGGGACAACTTTGAAAGAAAATCCTGACTTATTCGAATTTATAGTCTTTGGATTCTCCCTCGTGTGTTCATTTTTCACTGCCGCTGGGGAAACTGAATGCAGAACACCAAGTGGTATTTTACCTGACACCGTGGACGATATGGGGCCGATAGGTACCCATCCCCATGTCCAATCCCTATACACACTCTAGACTATTGTTACCTAACACATCCCCCCCAGAAGTCAGTAAAGAATTCCTGAGATTCCGATCAAACAATGACCAACACAAAGGTGGGGGGGGGTTCTCTCCGCCCCATATCTTGCATCATATGTTTTACCTAACCCTCACTGAGCTGATGCATTTCTTCTGATACTGTGGAAACATACTCCTATCATGCCAGGCCTTCAAGAGTTTCCTACGTACATATCCTAAGGTCAGTCTGACACCAACTTTATAAAATTGGAGCCACTGTTCTTGTGAAAGCCCATTTTTTCCAACATGGGGGGCGAAATTTGTTAACTATTCCCACTGACATCATCACTGCACAAGGGTCAACAAATGTTAGAGCACAATCAGTGGAGGTTCTGCATGGCAGCCATTTTTCCGGTAAAGCGGATTCGGTGCACTGATTTTATATTATATTCTTGTCAATGAACTGAATCTGCTTGCCCTGAAGAAGGTACTCAAGTTACCGAAAGCTCGGCAATCACATATTGCAGAGCACTGATTTTATATTATATTCTTATCAGTATGCTTGTGTGGACCGGTCTTTAGTCCACACAGGTTGCACAACCCGCGTTATAGGGACCTCCTCTGTTCTCAGGTATTTGAGGTTGGCACTCTCTTGGTGCGTTGGTAGGAAACCTACCAGAAGTCTTCCTTCCTCCTCCTTGAGCCGCTTGGCGTCCTGCTTCTTGGCTTCTAGGGCCGCCTTTTGCTTCTGCAGGGTCTCCAGAGTCTCTCGGTTGCGGGCATGCCGCTCCTGGGCCTCCCGCTCCTCCCGGGCGGCCTTGGCCAGCATGTCCTGCCGCCATAGGTCGGCGTACAGGGCCTCCTCGGTCCGGCTCTGTTCGGCCATGTCCGCCTTGATGCGCAGCTGCTCCCCCCGTTCCAGGCAGACTTCGTCCATGTGGCGGCGGGTCATGGTGGACCGCAGCTCCTCGCATTCCTCCCTGGAAAACAAATCAAGATGAGTGATTATTTTGTGGTGGTGTTATGTCACAGCCTGGCAACATTTCTTCACCTATCGATGGAGAAAAACTGACACAGGGTGATTTACATCAATTTTGAGATTCTGGAAAGTTAGGAATAGAACTGACAGTACAGTTTGAAATGTACATGTATTACAGATTAATTTAAATTTCATTAATAAACATACTTTTGCCAAACTCTAACTTTAAAGGAATTTTAATTTTTGATATTTCAACAGTCTCAGTTCAAACATTAATACACAATATAAATCTCCAAAATATCATTTATATATCAAAAACAATATATCAAAAACACACTGGTATTTGAAACAGCAGCGTCTGTCTTGCACTCGTGTGTCAAATTCTTATATGCAACTTCACATTTTCCTATGAGTCAAAACAGATACTGACCAGGCATGGCGGGTACACTAGCCAAGTGAAGGTGGAAAAGATTGATTTTGAGCACAGTTTGACCTCTAACAGGTCCTCCACTGTTGTGTGAGAGTGCACAAGCCATACACCCATGGGGTGAGTGTTGTATGCGTGCCATGCTCGACACACCCAAGCATTCAAACATCAGCCTCGCCTCTTTTCATTGTTGCTGTTCCCAGAGGTCGTTTTCAGGACTGGCAAAAATAAATTGGTATCTGGGGCACTGACAGTGCACATTATAGAAATGCATTGAGGAAAAAGGACCTAGCCTCACCTCCATCTCTGGTCCAGCTTCTCGGCGACAATCTGCAGCCGCTCCTGCTCGCGTTTCTCCTTCAGGTACTTGGCCCGCTCCCGCATCTTGGCCTGCCTCTCCAGCATGGTCTCCTGGCTGGCCTCCATCTCCTCCAGGTACATGGCATCCTCTGCGGCCAGCAACTGCCTCAGCCTGAAACGATTCGATGCTGGCAAGTTAACTACAAGACCTGAGCTTGTCTGGAAATGGGAGGAGGGGATATTTGGCAGCCGCAACAGGTAACAGAAAGGTCAGAGGCCACAGGACTATAAACGTATCTTTTAAAAGTACTTTAAACAATTTTTGGAGGAATTAAACCAGTGAATGGTACAAAATCTACATTTTCAGGAGACCGTTCTCAGGAGTCTTTTTGATACAGAGCTGCACTGGCCAACAAAACTGTGAAAGGATTCAGTTCAATCTATCAAGACTTCAAGGATTTTGCCAAAGGGGTTCCTGGGCATCCTCATACACCCTGTGGGTCATTCATTATCTTTAGATGACCTGTACAGTTATGCTAGGAGTATGTATGACGGCATAAAACCAGAGCAATTATTTTAAATTCAACACAGAACAAGAGTCCTGTAGGCCTACGTACTAAATCGAAAAAAAAATTTTAAAAACCTGTTTCAAGATCCAGAGCAGTCAACTCCATACCAACAGTAACAAACAGTTGTCCATGTATTTTAAAGTGTAAACAAAGACAAATTCTTATAAACTATGTTCAAGGCCCTTCCCTCCTCCAATTTCTTTTCCAATCTGAGTGATGTAAAGATAAAATCATTTCGATGGGCTAGATCTGCCTACCTTTCTCTACGGTCTTCCAGAGTGAATTCTTGCTCCAGCATCAGACCTCGCACCTTCCTCTGAACTGTGTTCAACTGGATCCGCCGGTCAGTGATGCGCTCCCAGTCATTCTTGAGGTCGAAAAGGGCATTGTACTTTGTCACTGCCTCAGCCTCCTCTCGGGCGTCGTCATGGCGCCTTCTCTCCAAGATCAGATGGTCTGGGGGTAGTTTGCTGGGCATCTTGGCTCTCTGAAATGTGAGAGTTTACAGAATGGAGTTGGTTACCACAGCTGAACAATAAAAACACCAACAAATAAAACAAGACATTATACAGTAGGGCCTAATTGGTTTATTCTGTTTTTCTCTTTATTTTTGTGACAAGAGCTACATGTATGCAAAAGATAGGGCCTACCTATCAGGAGCCTTTACATTATATTTATCTAATAATTATGGTAACACCGGTGTCGAATGTGTTGGAAATCTAGTTAGGCTGCACCAACACAATGTTTTTGAGGCTGGTGGCAGCAGACATAGGCCAAGGCCTACCTGTCCATTTTCATAGTATTACGCGTGCCCAGAACTAGGCCTATCCATGCACGCTCAAAAAATGTGCACATTCTCAGAACTGCTACAAAGGACCGGTACATGTATGTTTGCCGCCATCAACATGATCAAGCATCTCAAAGTTTCCCATCGAGGAAATAGGCCTTGGGCTGAGCCTAATTTAGTAATAATGAAACAAACTCACAATTGCCACAGAGTGTGGAGTTGGGCCAGTGTACTCTCTCGTTCTGCGGGGTTTCTGTGTTGCCAACATGATGGCTCCTTGAGTTGACAGTTGATTCCAGTGGATAACTCGTCGACACTGAATTCGTACCCTTCAGAAACTTCGTTGAAGTTGTAAAGTTTAGGCGATTCGTCGCCAGCCCTGAATTTTCCAAACCGTGACGGGGCTCGAATATGCAGAACAAAATCACCGGTCACCGCTCGCTGAAGAGTGGAAATTTAACTTCAACAAATTAAGCCTACTGCAACAAGCTTAGCTACCTTGCAAACACAAAAATGGACAAATTGTAAAGACTTCTCATTCTGCATTGAAATCCATGGAATTTGTTTAAAATGCAGATTCTACAAATCTAGTATAAGAACTGTGCCAATCGAAGCTAAGGTTTCAGGCAAAGGTGCACGATTCACATGTAGGCCTACTGCTCTTTTGCTTGCGCTGTACGTGCACACCCGGTAACTTTACCACTGATCACAAGTTGATATGACGTCGTACCTAGCAACAAAACAACATCGCAAGGGCGCCCTCAAATATGTTTGGCGTAAAGGGGGCGCTTTTCAAAATAGTGGCAGGGTAAATGCCGTAAGGAACGAGCAATGTGTGATGTGGAATTTTTGGGAAGGATACAAAAAATAATAACAATCGGGAAACATTTGGATATTGAACGTAAAATTGCCCTAGTAGTTTTCCAGTGAATTTCCAGTCAAAAGGGCTATATTTCTGTCTGATGTTTTTTGGTTTTCACGGGGATTTTTCTAGGGGATTCAGCTCTTTTATATTCACAACAGATGCACTCAAATCTTTTGCTCAAGAACTGTGTCCCACCATGTTTTATCTCTCCATGGTCCCACCCACATTAATTTAATTCGGATCTTTGCCCCCCCCCCATTAAATGTGGTGGCGACAAATCGAGTTGCAGGGGCCTCATTAATTGTGAACATCCATGGGTGCGCGTTGTTGATCAGAGCCAACCATTCGGCCTTTGTTACGAAAACGCATTAAGAGAAAAAAATCAGTTCAAAGTCTTTTTTGACATCGGTAAACAAAATTTTCTACTCTTGGCAGAATTTTCGTAGTTTGTCGTTATGATTGTTTCAAATCAAATTAAGAGGGAAAATGCAGTCACAGGTCAAAATCACACCATTTAATTACACCATTTTAACCAGCGAGCGAATGCAGGGCCAAACTTTGGAGTGAGGAGTGGAGGAGCCGGGGGCCCGGGGGGCTCTGGGGTACGTGCCCCCCCCCCGAAAAAAACCCAAAACGGATGAATGGATATTGAACAAGGCTAACCAAAACTGGCCTAAAAACCACACCACTGAAAGCTGCGGCCCCTCCTTAAGATGCTGGTGTCCCTTTGTGCCCCCCCCCCCAGTAAAATCCTAGCTACGCCACTGCCCTAGAGCATGGAGGACGGAACACCACCTATCCCTCCGTAGGCCTATTCATAGACAGTCTCACGTCAAACTCAGAACAACTTTTGTTACGGACATCTATGTCCTGGGGACAAGTAAAAAAACCCTTTCAATTGTATTTGCTCGTTCCCAATACTGGGCCAACGGGCCGTGCTCTGTATAGGAGGGCGAATTGCGTCTTTCGGAGCGGCACTTACCCGGCGGTGTGGCAGTCTCAGCTGTCCCCCGGTCGCAGCGGTCCCCCCCCCCCGGACGTAGCCGGACATTTCAGCACGACACAAGCACGGTCTCGTTGGTCTTCTGTGCTGAGATGTCTGCATGACTAACTCGCACAGTACTATCATAGAGCTACAAACCCGTGCTATTATCTTTGGTGTAGGCCCAGCGATGTACAGTACCACGTTGCGTATATAACCCGCGTAGAGCGTGAAGCATACTGCTCAGCATGCCAATTAAACGGACGACTTTCCCGTTGTTGTGAGCAGAGATGGATGACGTATTTTTACCATATTTGGTAAGGGGGACCGCTGAGACCGGGAGACAGTTGAGACCGCCACACCAGTGATGGGCACAACCGCCGGTCTGAATCATGTGACCGCGCAGGAATTTTGAACCGATCATTTTACACGCATTTTTTGAGACAGCGCCGGCGCTCTTGTTGTGTGATCATTTTTATCCGTTTTTATTTATTTTTAATGCGGACAGTGTTATCTTTTTAACGTCGAAAAATGCGAACAAAGGTGCGTCTGGCTGACAGGGCTGAGTGAATGTCAACAGACACATGATCGTGAAGGTAATAAATGGAAGGTTTGGCTAGGCGCCTATATAATTTATAAGCCTGACTGTAATTAATGCCATAGGCCTAATAGCATTCACAGGCAAATTGTTGGGAACTCACGTCAAGACGATCAAGATTGAAGTTAATTTGTAGGCCTACCTGGGTCTTGGTAGAATGAGGGAGGGACACGGACACTATTTGATGCTTGTTTTTATTAGGTGGCCCATTCTATCTGCCATGGACTCTGTGTTTGATTGGTCTGATGTTGAAGTTTCTGTTTGTCTCCTTAGTGTAGGTCATGTTGCATTTATGGGAGGTCTACTGGGCGAGGTTTTGGGGTCTGAATTGCCCTAGGCTGTTGTAGATCTGTCGGTGTGGACTGCTGCCATTCAGGAAGTGCTGGAAATGATGAGAGCTACCCTGTGTTGGGGCGTGTAGTGGGTGAGGTGAGCCTGGTGGGTTCGACCTTGGGTGTAAGGGGCCCTTTGGTTGATGAAAGACGATGGATCTTGTGTCTTGACTTGATGTGTCCTGAATCTGTTTGTGCTGTAATGCTGTCTTGGCATATTGAAGTTTGTTACTGGCGAAGACCTTTCCTGATGCAGGCTTTCTGGACTCGGTTACTGATGGCAGGTGACGCGATCTTGGGGTGCAGGAAGGATTGAGTTGTTGAGATACCCATTTGTGTGTGTTGGTAATCTTTGGTAAACTTAGTGGGGTTGAGGATATCGTTACACTGTTGGGCGACCTTGACATCTGGGGACAAGATTCACGGTCTGTTCCTGACCCTTGGTGCATCAGATGCTGCTTTGGACCTGGTTGAAATCTCCTGGGAGCTACTGGAGATTCTGTGCTGTGTGATGAAGCAATGAATCCTTTTACCGAAGACAGCCTCTTGGTCACAGATCTACAAAGGCAGTGATCTCCTGCATGATGATGTTCGCTAAAACCGCAGAAATTCCAGAGGCCGCCCAATTAATCGATCTGTCCACTGGAAGGGGGACAGTAGGAGGCAGGTGTGGGTAGGAGTTAATGTGTAAATCCAGTCCCGAGGGTAGGTTCTATGTTCATGAAGGGAGTTGTCGTCTAGTAATCTTCCTTGGATATGGGGCAGACTTCGCTCATGGGGATGACGGTGAATACCAGCTGTTTATAAGCCTGTAGACTGTATTGAAGTTGGTTGTGGTGCCGTTGGGATATTGTGTGATGATGAGGTTCATTGGGCTTGAGTGCCATCATAGTCTAACATTATCATCCTAACATCATCCTCCTAAACTAACACAGTAATATGGGATCCCTTTCCTCCCTAACATATCATTCACATCACTGACATCACTCATTACTGACATCATTCGCATTAATAACATGGCACGGTATCGCAACAGTAACAGGAGCAATTTCAATGCAGTCTCGGTATTCACCGATATCCTCACAGGAGGGGCCTGTTTCATCGCCAAGGGATGAAGACTTGATGGCAACTTTCTCTGTGAATGTGAAGCCTTCCCTCTGAACTGGATCCTCCCACCCAACCCCAATCCTACTGTCCCTCATCTAATGGACAAACCAGTTCTTTGGGCGACGTCTAGATTTTCCTCGGGGTTACCACCCTCCCGGTTCCAGCAGATATCATCATGTAGTGTTTTTGTCATCACTGCTGTTGTGGATTTGAGAGCAACAGATTGTTTTCGGTACAAGGATGACATTTTCATTGCTTCATCACACGGCACAAGATTTGCAGCAATTCCCAAGATACTTTAGCTGGGAACATAGCAGCAACTGGCTCACCTTGGATCAGTTTCAGAATTGTTGAATCTTCTTCCCAGACGTCAAGGTCCTTACATGGTCTGGCGGCACCCTCAGTCTCTCTGTTTGCCAGAGATCCACATACATAGGTGGGCATCTCCACGACCAGTCTATCCTGTTCCTTGGGATCAACTTACCTGTCATTGGTACCCGTGTTCCGTGGGCCTGCATCATTGACTAAGGTTTTCTCTGGTAGCAACTTCTTTGTGGCAGGGCAACATTCCAGCACAACTGATTCACGGCACATCAAGTTGAGACACAGATCCTGACTCTTTCATCAGCTGAAGAGTCTCGTACACTCAAGGTCTACCCATCAGGTTGTCCTTGTCTACTACATTTCCCTTCACAGGGAGCTCTTGTCATTTCCAGTGCATCCTGGGTGGCAGTGTTCCACACCGACAAGTTCTGCAACATCCTGGGCATGCAAGATCCCAAGACTGAACTTGGTAGATCACCTGTGAATGTAGTGGGCCTATGCTTTTGGAGACGAACAGGGACCTTGGCATCAGTCTGAATAAACATGGAGCTTGTGGTAGATACAGGGTCCTACTCGAATGGGTGACACAATTGAGTACCGAAGTGACAACATTTTGAACCAGGAATTGTTGTGCATGGAATATGCACGTTTTGGTTCAAATGTTTGCTCTCACACTAATGCCTTTTACACACACAATTATGCGCATGAATTATTTTCACTTCGTTACTCTATAAACAAGAAGCTATGTGGGTCTGTACTTTTATTTCCTTAAAATAAGTGACCCAGCATTGGGCATCCTTCTACGAAGAGCAGTTTCCACTTTTGCCTTTGAGCCCAAAATATCTGTTGCCCTGTGAAGCCAATTCTTGCCATTTTTACACTCAGCCTGGTTAGCCAGATTTTGCCCAACAAGCATGTCCCTAAGTTGGAATCTTTTCAGATGATCATTATGCAAAATGTGATTAAGTTACTTGTAAGGTGCCCTTAATAAGTCTCAGTCTGATCAGATTTGAAACAAGTTTAAGTTAATGTTGTTGCACTGATCAGGCTAAAGTGTGGAGCTTTCTAGAGTTTCCCTTCAACAAATTTTGCCAGATGCCAGAAATTCAAAAACTTTGATGGAAAACCTGCAGTCATTGCTTATCTTGAGTAGCACATCAATGCAGACCAAAACTTTCACCCTGCTGGTTCGGCACTTTCCATGCAGAGGACACATCGTTAAGGTACATGTATGCAAGTGTTGGTATAGGTGAGTTACAACTTTTTCACATTTTGTCCAAAAAATGTTTGAATGTAGATCTATAGCATGTAAATTGAAACTTCCTGATGACATTTTTCCTGGACAAGGATTCGCAAAGATATTCAAATTAGAGAAAGAAAACCAACAAACCTGAGAACTTGACAGATGTTCATTAACCCCAAGGTCCCAAATCCTGCAACATAATTAGCCATGTCGGAGTTAGCACCTTGATTTTTGTTGGGTGAGCTTGAGCCAATCAAGTATTTGAAATTGTACCAGTCCAACTTCCTCTTTTCTTTTTTTCAGAAATAATTCTCTTGGCCTGTTTTAAAAATGATGCAGCTTTTTGGGGCAATTTATTGAATTTAGTTATCTTCAATTTTTTTGTGTACAAAAGCACGTCACTCTTGCTTAACTCTAGTCAAAACAAAGGGTGACTTTATTTGAAATTGGTAGAAGATTTGGACTTACTTTTAATAGTGTTTCATAAATTGGACTCTCGTGTTACGAGACATGTACCAGCAGATTGAAAAATATAAAAAAATGTGAATTGCTCATTTGAACATTGGTACTGATACATGTAGATAGGATAAACTTCATGAAGACAATACACATCTGAGAACAGCTGAATGTCATCAGACTGGAAGATACAATAACAAGATTTGTAATGCCAAACATTGCTAAATTTAGTTGTAAGAGTTATATGCTTAACCTGCTGACATATTTGTCAAATTATGGGACAAATAGGTCTGCAATCTTGCAGTGACCATACGATGATGCTCGCAGATGATGTGGACATACATGCATGAAGATACTGTCCAGATATTCGATTTGAATGGCATTTGCAGTAGCTCGTCTGATTCATAGTCTTGCTGCTGTTAAAAGCTTACCATGCATATTAGTCAGTGTGCATTCCCCCCCCACCCTGTATTTTTTTCGAGCATTTTTACTTACACATTTTTTTTTATCAAAGAAGAAACTTTAAGTTTACTATCCAAAGCAAGTGAACATTTGACTTGGGAAGAAGTCCAAGTATCCATTAATGATATTTCATCTGCATTCAAAAATGTATGCCTGATTGATGTTCGTAAAAGTGACTTGTTACCCACCTATACATGTACTGGGTGTTTTAGACTGTAGTGCTGAGCTACCGCATAAGGTTACAGATGTGTTATGATAGTTCCTATTTTGTACCGTAAGTTTACAAATGACACATGGGCCACTTGGGTTAGTTGGAAAATTTTAATTGGGGCTAGTTGGAGCATATTCTAACAATTTCTAACATTTTGATTATGTATGAACAAATTAATGTGCTAACGTATGAAGAAAGCTTCTTCTAGATCAAAGTTCTGTAAAGCGAATCTTACCATGCAAGAATGAAGGAACAAAAAAAATAAATAAAAAGAGAAAGCAGCCTGGAGTAAAATATGTCTCCAAAATAATGTAAGGCCCAATAGAAGACTGAAAATAAGTTACACTGTTAGTTGCTGCATTGATTTAACTCACTGATATGTGTAGAAAAGTGCATGTGTACAAAAATGTGTGTTTTCCCGGAGAAGTTTGAAAAATGTGTATTCGAAATTGTGACACATAAATTCAATTTGGCCCTGATTTTGAGAATGATTTGTATCCTGGTTTCTTTTTGCTGTCACTGACAGTCAATATTATTTTTCTTCATTCAAATAAATGAATGTGCGTAACGTTACAAGATTAAAAATTGAATACATTTTTTCATGTTCAGGCCCAGCCTGTTTTTAAATCACTGAGGGTGATATAATTACTTCCTCTGTTTGTTTTCATCAATGTGATTTGACCGCAATTGACAGGAGGATGGTGGACAAGTCACGTGTACATGCATTTGACATTTGCCAGAAGAGGTGATAATTTTTTGTGTGTGAAAAGATATATTTACTTGTATCACCTGCTACCAGAAATGTGTCATGCATGTGTGCAGCCTCAAGAGGGTTACTAAACGCAACCACTTTGAATGAAACGTGATTGTTGTTTGATACAAAATGTGATTATTAGCAAATCAAAAAAGATACAAGTTTGTTCTTGTTTGCAAGACGGTCTAAAATTATTGCTTGAGTATGGTTTGCTTTCTCTGAAAGAGTTATCAACAAAATTTTAATGTTAGTCCTCAAGAAATTACGTATATCCAAATTAATTTGGAGGGATCATGTCGACATGAAACAATTGTGTGGTGATCTGCTCATGCAGTCTTAACCCTTGCATCTATATTGTTTTTCAGATTTCCACTTCTGCAAAAAACAAGATGTGGTAAATGTACACTGTATATTGAGGTGGCCTATTTGAACAATATTTATCTTGTATTAATTAATCAATCCCTTTTTTGCAACATGGGGTGATATTTGCTACCACAGCAAACTTTGCACAGGAGTTATACACGGTCCACCTCTTTTTAGACTTCTTGGGCTTTGTGCCTCTATGAAACGAATGGAGCCGAGGATAGAGTAGGAGTGTCTTAAAGGTGGTGACTTGGAGAATGTTTGGTGGCTTAACCCCCTCATCCTAGCCATCTCTAAGCTATGCAGACTGCTAGATCATTTTTTGACAACTCTGACTGTGAACTGACGGACGCACCTGCACTACCGGTTAGATAAGTGATGGAGGCAGATGACCCATTCCTTCAAGAAACCAATCCACGGCCAAGGATCCATCAGCAAGGGTCACCATGCAGCCAAAAACAGCCAAGATGGCAGTAGTCTCAGCTCGGATGACCAGCTGCACCCTCCTGACTAAGTTAATGGAAGAATGAGTCACAGAGGATCTCCATGCCTGTACCCATGCAGCTCATCTTGGCTTGCTACTTTTAGTTGTCAAGGTAAGACGTCTGTCATTTCTTATCAGAGAGTGAAATCATTATAATCTTCTGGAGTACATAACAGATTTTGGTTCATTGTTTAAAATTACTTTCACTTTAACAGTTCCATATGATAGCTGTTCCATGAATGAGTATGATATATGCGACCCGAGAGGTATATTTCCAGATGAATAGCATACGTGTGGCTTGCATGTATATTCAGTATGAGACAGCGTTGCTTAGTTGTATTTATAGTTTTTAGTATGCTATCCACACAGTGTGTTTCAAACTGTAATTCCTTTGTAAATGTACATGCAACAGAAGTGCTAGTAAATACTGAAAAAGGCTTTCATGAAACTCTATATTACACATTAAAGTCAGAGTTGATTACTTTTCTTACATGGGTCTGCTTCAAGCCTTCATGTACATGTACATACCATGTACATACATGTACATGTCCTACAAGTCACCAAGGTTTTGTAGAAAAGCAGGCTCTTGTGACAGCCTCTTTTCGTGAACAGTCAGTTGGAAGGTTTGGTCATCTCTAGAATTATTTGCTGTGAACTGTCCCAGTGATGGAGGCTTCCCAGCGTATTTACCCCCCTTCTGTTCTCTAATATCCATAAATGCCCAGGCTGATGTGTTATTATATCCTGATCCTCAGTTCTAATTCATTTTTTAAACCAGCTCCATCTGATGCCTCTTAGTCTCCTGTACGGTGAAGTTTTTCCTGCATTTTCCTTACTTTTGGTCATTTGTTATTTACTTTTATATTAATCAATTTATACATCAGATAAAAGACACTGTTGCCCCAGGGGGAGGGCAACTGTTCCCCCCGATGGATTTATTAAAATATTCTGTACAGAGAATACTTTGTAGGTATAGGTAGGAGAGAAAGGAATTGGTATAATAACATTAGGACCCAAACCCTAAGAATGCAACAGCAGCAAATAAAAGTGAGGATGTCAGGACCGTGAGTATAAGGCTTTTGCTTTTTGGTCTTTCCCAACATCATGTCGAATGAGCCCAAAGTGGCCTTTGCTTTTAAACTTGCCCCCCCTGACACCAAAAGCTGGATATGCTGCTGATAATTAAAAGACCATGCCCAACACGGACTGATCATTGAAAGACTCTAGTGTATGTTCTGTCCTTACTTGACCTACAGGTCAGAGATGACTTTAAACTTTGTCTTTTTTGCACTGTACCTTTCAAAAATACACATTTACTAAAAGGGTGTCTGCTTCATTACAGATTCAGGGAAGTGATGTACATTGACAGCATTGGGCTAGAAAATTTCAAGTTTTCCATTTTCCCAAAATATTTTCCTTGATTACAAATGTTAAAGTTTTTGTCTGAAAGGGGTTTCAATTTAAGTCCCATTTTCCCTACTTCCGCGTAAACATGTGATTGAGTGCTGAAGACTAAATTTTCATGTGATGATTTTCAATCTCAGAAAAAGCTTCCCAGAATTGTCTTTCTTTAATGCAGATGCGATTTTCAGATTTTCAAATAGGAGTGACAACTTGTGCCAAATACATGTAACATCTGAAGGTTGGTGCCATTCACATGGTTTTGGCTAAAATTACAGTGCCCTATTGAAGTGAACTGAATTAGCCAGCGTCCGTGATATTGGTTAGAAATTATATAAAGAAACAATGAAATTGACTTGAGTGGCATTTTAATCTATGACCCTCGAAATACTGTTTCAAACATTGCTCCATGTGACACAGGCTAAACTTTGAGTTGACAGGATGTGCTCACCACTTCTTCTATGGCTCAATAGACCAATCCATTAAGCCTCGCCTTATTGTTATCTGACCAATCACAACTGTAATTTATATCTGACACTCGGGCATGAAAGTCTGACATGTATACGCATACGTGATATGCCCGGCTGTAACATGGGTGGTATTGAAGAAGAGCATGTGTTAAGTGCACAAATGCAAAGTGTGCGGGGCTTACTGGATTTATCTATTTGTAAATTTTAAAGTTTTAAAATTTTTCACTGTTTTTTTTTTCATGGAAAAATAATTTATCACGGGTTTTCAGTTAAGTCACTACTTCTTTTGTGATTCAGTTGCAACTTTTTGTATGTTTTAAATGTGACCACTGCAAGACATTGTGTACCTACTTCATTATGATGGTGCTGTGAAATAAACCTGCCTTTTTTCTCGAAAAATAATCTAAAGTTTTCATCAATGGAACAGGAAATCTTTCAGATAATTGGTGGCAGCAAATGGAACAGTCTGGTTTTGTTGTTTGACTTAAGTTTGATCTAAGTTTGATGTAATGCATGCTCAAAACACAAAAGAAAAGCATCATTATGTTGGCCACCACCAAGCACTGCAAAAGCCTTCCCTTAAGGAAAGTGTTAATTCTTCAAGAGATAGGTTTGTTTTGTTTATTATTGTTTTCATTCTTTTTATTTATTTCAACTTCAAGTTTTAAATGAATTTTAGATAACTTTTAAACTCATATCTAGATTAAGTTTTTAGAATGATTTTTAAAATTTACTTTTTAATCATTTTTCAGAGTAACTTTTTAATTAATTTTAAATTTAATTTTAAGTTTATTTGTTATGAAGTTTAGTATATTTTATTTATTTTGTACATGTACCGGTATTCCGCTAGAGCAGCGTATTTTCGCATTGGTCACAAATAATATGAGACATTTAAATGTAAGTGAAGTAAATTCACAAAATGTGGTTTCTTTTACACTGGCCAATATACATGTACCAGTTCAAGTTCTATTAAAGTTGAATGTTTTATCTTTGAATTGAGTGGTATTGTAAATTTCAACTTTAACAACACCTAACACTCCTCAATCCTCCAACAGGTGAGGGATTGAGGAGGATTAGGGTTATGGTTATGTGGAAAGCCAATAGTGAGAGGTTCAAGCACAAGTACATGTTAAAAATCCAATGTGCCCTAATGCTTCAAAGTGAAGAAGAGCTTGTGTTATTTTTTCAAGTTTTATTTTGTCTGGATGTTTGAAGGACTTCATATTTGCAGAAAAGAGTGTATGGCCATGCATTCAGAATCTGCAAATTAAGTGTAATTTGTTGGTGAGAGGGCATTATTATAAGCTTCAGATGTGCACTTGCAGCACTAAATCAGCCCCTAGTAGATCACCAATAAATGAGTTTGAAAATTTAGAAATGGGGGCATCCCACTCCAAACTCCAATAATTTTGAATTTTTTTTTTATATTAATCAAAGAATCTTTGTCTTTAAAACTGTTTTGTTGAGTAATTTTTAGGGGAGTATGCAAAATCCCTTGTCTGTTTTTAAATACTACTTCATCAGCAGGGAAATTGAGTAAATGAACAGTTGAGACAAAGATGTTAATTATTATGTTTTATAAAAACACTGAACAATGGACTGAAGTACAATATATAGACATGTCTTTTGAGTGGAATTTTCCAACCGATAAGGTTGAATACATAAATACTTATCTCTTCCCCTCACTTTTTAAAGTTATCTTGGTTGACAACAAATTTTCAGATCTTAAAATTGAGGTTTTGACATGTATCATTGCTCAGTTTCCCTTATCAGTTAAAATTGTATCAGTTAAAAGTTATGGTTACTAGTTACATTGTAATTTGCCCACACATCTTTGCCAGAAGTTTAAACATGCACTAGACTGATAATCAAACCTAAATGTTTTTTGCTCAGAATATGAACCTTTCTCTTTGATATCATGGTAAAGTTACAATAACAGTTTTGCATGTTTAAATAAGGTGCCAAAATAAGAACAAAATATCCACAATTTGGTCAAAACTGGTTTTTAACTCCATTTAGCACACCACCCAAATGAAAAGTCTTCTTTTTTCTCTTTAGTTTGATACAAGTTTGTGGTTGTGATGCTTATAGTTCGGAAGTTAAGTTAAATTTCCATATTTTAATTTTGTGTATTTATTTGCCCATGTTTATATTATTATGTGCAATTTATGAAATAATATTGCCTTGATTTGTCTGAAGTCGTGGAGACTAAAAGCAACTTGAAGAACTTGTTGCACAAACATTGTAAGTTGCAGAATTTCAGAAGCATTAATTAAATCAGGCAACAATTGTCATTTGCCCTTGAGAAGCCAAGTTGTCAGTGGCAGACAACACTTAGCTGTTTTCTGAAACAATATATTGGGTTAATGGTGAATCATCTAAAATGGCTTCAGGCCATGCTCTTGAAGATTGGAGATGCATATGTACACTGGACATTTGGACTTGGTTAAGACTAGAGAGAGAAATGAGTTGGGTAGCAGGGAAGCTCCTAGCTTCTTCAGGGAGTGGTTGTCCCTGCCAACTGCATGCCCCAGGTCCAACTGACCCGGTTGGTAGTACCTGGTAAGGGTCCCTGACTCAGGGTTACGAGTGAAGTGTACCTCACAGTGAACTGGTGAATGGATGCCTAAAGATGAGGAATGTGATGTACATCTGTACCAATCTGTATAGTGGACTACTCGTCTTCGTTAAAGCTTATCAACTCCACTGAATGTGGTGAACAGTCACAAAACCCTCTGAGATGAAGGTGAACTTCCAGTCTCTTGCACTGCACCGACTTCACTGCTGAAGGATTTTGCAGCAGGATTCGGTATGAACACGGCAGATGACCTTGGATGCAGCAAGAATCTTATCTTGTTTACACTGTCATCTTAAACAATGCAGTGGAACTAACTCATCACAAATAGGCCTGTGGACCAAGCAGCAGCAACACTTGAAGTTATGGCCTGATGTTGACTCTGACGTGGTCGTTTTTACTGCACAGAGCTTCACAGAGCTTCACGGAAACTTGAACGATAGATCAGTGGGACTTAGTGTTCTGGTACATCTGTGCCCATCGACAATATCAACTTGTCTGCTGTAAACTTGCAACCTATAACATTCATTGTTACAGTGTACATATGCATCTGTTTCTTGAAAAAGTAACTCAAGAATTTCACCACATGCAACAGCGTCAAATGAAATGCAATTTGTCTTTGCTACCATGTTGAACACTAAGAATATTTATTTTCCTAGCTTTTGA